TTTTTTTTTGTGCCCTTCGTTTTCTAAATATTATCGCCAAACCTTCCTAATAATTGATGTTCCCGACTTCCTTCATCCAAATGAATATTTATAGATCTCTCAGATTAAGGTTCAGACAGGACGGGACGGAATGCGACGGGAACGCAATCCCGAGACATCAGAATGTTTTCGATTCTTTTGAAGGTTGAGTCTAAGTGAGAACAATTATGCAAAGGGAGTGGAGACCAATGAAAAGTAAAGAAAAAAAAAAGAACAGAATAAGAGAAAATAAGATCCCGAGGAATTGTAAATACGAGGGTCGTCGATGCAGTCCAAGCTTGAATAAGGCCATTAAATCCATATAAGCTCTGCACCACGAGAGGGCAGGTCAAATAGTGATCATGGCTTCTGAGACACAAACCGAGGCATGTGCGCATACCGTGTAAAGCTTACGTGTGCATGTCCGGGAGCGGTCGACTGGAGAGGGTAGTACTTGATAGATTTGACCAGTGTGGAGGTGTTAGAGTAGGATACTGATTTATCCTATTTAACCATAATATTCTAGAAGTTGTGCTGTAACAGAGGCCGCATTCAGTGTTGGGTGACAAGTTGGAATGGAACCGGACATTTAACAGATCTCGCAAAAAAAAAAAAAAAAAGATGGGGGAGAAGGCTGGAAAAGGACTAGTCTAGACGAGGTAACGTGGGAGTGGAGGTATTTTTGGTCTCCTCCGGGACAGGATTGGACCCTTGGACCCTGTCTATGTACGTATGGTAATGGTTGTCAGGGTCACCAGCCGCCACTCAACTTTGCGTCTATCTTCCGCATGCAGTCGCCCTCCTTCTTCTTCTTTTGTCTTGTCTAGTATCAAGTAGACATTTGACGGCCGACTTGCTCTTTTCATCCTTTTCCTTTTTTTTGTTCAATCTTTGGCGGGCCTTGTTCTCCATCGTTTCTCTCTTCTTCCCCCTTCTCCCCATTTCCCTGTCGTGCGATCTACATACCTACTTTCATACATACTTCCCGCTGATGGGCTGTGCCCCCCCCTCACATCCCGTCACATTTAATTTGGTGATATTGTCAGATTTTCTTACAGTATGTCCCCTCTTAGGTGCTCTATTGTGCCTCTGATCTGAAAGTGTTCAGCATACTCAATTTGACATAGGTCCCGTTTCGATTCGTGGATGATCCAGACACTCGTCTGGGTCGGCTCGGGAACCGTGGTTCGAGACTCTGTCCCTGCCCGCTGATCCGGCACTTTCAGGGCCTTCTATTTCTCCATCGATCAACCCACTACTGCCTCTGCGCTGTCCTCGCCTGATTCGGCTCCTTGCTTGCTCGCTTACTTCCCTGTTTCACTTCATCCATCCTTCGATAGCCTTAATACTGTGTACTTTCTCGGTTTCGGCCTAGATCTTATGATTTTCGGGGAATTTGGTCTAAAACTTAACAACAACCGTTAAATACACTACTTAAATCACCGCTACCACTTATTTCCCATAGCGATGTCCGGTCCCCACCGGTCATTCAGCTTCAACCAAGGTGATGACGGTGCGGGAGACGCAGGAGATGTTTCACCAATCCGTTCTCAAGAAGGACATTTCATGAACAGCCTTCCACGGCACAACGACGTGTCCCCGGTTTCTGCCAGAAGCCAAGCGATGGGAAGCTCGCCTTCCAGCGGCTTTCTGTCGGCGCACGAGCACGGCGATCGGGGTTGGGGTCAGAATTCGGGGCACACGCAAGCGATGCGCACGAATTCAACGACGCCAGGAATGGACAATCTTGGCCCTGCCGCTGTGGGCGGTGGTATCAGCGGTATCGCCCTTGGCGTTGCCAACTCCCATAACCGTCAGAGTGGAATTGACGCTTTTAGGGATACAGACGGACGCAATCTGCCTGCTGAACGAGGCTATAACACCACCGGATCCGACAACCCTTACGTTCCAACCCCCCCGGGGGGAGGATTGCACGAAAGCACCGATAACCTGCGACCCCGAGATTCTTACGGTTCGAACGTCGCATTGGGTGCCGCCGCTGCTCCCGCAGGCCAACTGACTCCCGGTGGCTCCAACCCATCCCAACGTAGTTTATTTGATAGCCCGTATCAGGGTGTGGGGGCTATGGATGCAGGCCCATATCAACGACAGTCGGCCTACAGCGCCGCGGGGGACTATCCCCTCGTCATAAACCCTGATGAGATCGCCGATGATGGAGATGATGGCTTCACGCCTGCCCCGAATGGCAAGTCTGCGAGTCAAAGTGCGAGAGCAGTTCCAGCCGCCACTGCTGGGGGAGCCGCCGCAGGTGGGCTATTTGGCTTGTTTAAGTCGAAGAAAGCCGACAACCCGTCCTATGGGCCTGTGCCGGGAGCAGGCTTGGAGGCCGGAGAAAAGAGCGGATGGACCAAACCTACACCTGGGGGAGGGAGTCGCAAACGTGGGTGGATTGTAGGCCTCGCTTTGGCGTTCATTGTGGTCGGGGCGATTGTTGGCGGTGCTGTCGGTGGTACTCTAGGAAATCGAGAGAATGAAAACCCGGATACTACAAAATCGGCATCAAGCGATACCGAATCGAATGGTGACCTCACCAAAGACTCCTCGGAAATCAAAGATTTAATGAACAATCCTGACCTCCACAAAGTTTTTCCGGGCATGGATTATACTCCCTGGGGCGTCCAGTATCCGCTCTGTCTTAAATACCCACCTTCGCAAAACAACGTCACTCGTGATGTGGCAGTGCTCTCACAGTTGACCAACACTGTCCGGCTCTACGGCACTGATTGCAATCAAACAGAGATGGTCTTACATGCTATTGACAGACTAGAACTGAAGGACATGAAGGTCTGGCTAGGAGTGTGGATCGACTCGAACGACACGACGAACGATCGGCAAATCAAGCAACTGTACAAGGTCCTGGACGATACGAAAGATATATCCATTTTCAAGGGAGCTATTGTCGGTAACGAAGCACTGTATCGGGCGGGCAATGATATCGCAAGCGCGAAGAAGAAGCTGATCTCGTATATGGATGATGTGAGAAATCACTTCAAAGAGAAAAACTATGACCTTCCCATAGCGACGTCCGACCTTGGTGACAACTGGAAGGCAGATCTCGTCTCGGCCACAGATCTAGTGATGTCTAACGTGCACCCGTTCTTTGCGGGTGTTACAGCTAAGGAAGCTGCCAGCTGGACCTGGAATTTCTGGAACGAAAACGATGTCCCGCTAACGAAGGGCACAAATAAGAAGCAAGTCATATCTGAGGTAGGGTGGCCAAGTGGTGGAGGTAACGATTGTGGTTCGAACAATAAGTGTACGGACGATACATCCGGCTCCGTGGCTGGCATCGATGAAATGAACCAATTTATGTCGGATTGGATTTGCCAAGCATTGGAGAATGGCACAGATTACTTCTGGTATGTTGTTTCCGCTTTAATTCAGATGGACCCTTATTCTAACAGATTTTCTAGGTTCGAGGCGTTCGATGAGCCGTGGAAGATCCAGTATAACACCAAGGATGAGAATTGGGAAGATAAATGGGGTCTTATGGATGCCGCGCGCAAGTTGAAGCCAGGGCTCAAAATTCCTGATTGTGGTGGCAAGACAGCCGCATAATTGATGGTTCCATTGATTATGTCGCACCTCATGATCTTTCCAACGATTCTCACGACACCCTTCCCTCTCTACCCCGTCTTTCCTTTCGCCCTTTGATGATAACGACCACATTCCTTTTCATGATGCAGTATAGGCTTTGCAAGGATACGCTTCGGTGTTATATTCTGCTCTTGGGTTTGTAATTTAATGGATGGTTGAAATGTTCGACTGATGCGTTTCTGGTATCTTCTTTTTGTGTGAACTATTGAGTCTTTCTATGTTGCACATGCATAGCTGGATGGTTGATGGAAGAGTGTCACTGTGTATATATCTTCTGAACACTCGAAGTTGATGGGGTGTTTCAGACTTTTGCAAATACTACTTTCAATTCAGCATCCATATGTTCTTTGATAGAGGTTCTTGGCAGTAGTATTCTACTCCTATTCAGTTAGTCTAGACGAAAGTCATGAATCATATCATACAATGGTATTTACAGTGAATGTTAACAATAAGTCGGCTTCTCATTTATTGCTCACCTTCCCCAGGCGTGTATACTCTCATATTCCAGAACGCATGTTCCATGTCCTCGAACCGGGGAATCCTCCCGGACATCCTTGATACCACGAACTGCTTCACAGCCTCCGACTCGATATCTTCTAATGGACCACCGAAAACCAGCGCAGGCGCGTGAGAAAGCAGTTGTTCCAGGTGTGTCCGTTCCGCGCCAGGACAATAAAGGAGAGCGCTAGGGGAGACTTTTTCGAAGCCATGGGGATGGTCGAGAACAGTAATGTCAAGAGAAGCGAGCAGGGATCTGTCATGGGTATTGAAAACGGGGTCCTGAGCAAAGACTTCGAGATTCGGGATTGATTTTTCTAATCAGATATTGTCAGCATGCAAAATACTTACCCGCCTGTAGAAGCACAGGAAGATCGAGAACGTAAGACTCACTCATCAAATCCACAACACTCACTAACCCGGCGAGCTGGTACATTGATACATTCCTCCTATCCACCCAACCACCCTTCAGAAACCCGCTCGGACTTCCCAATCCAATACAGACAATGCGATCCACTTTCACCGTCGCAGACGATAATGCGCTCTCGACCACCCTCCAACTCTCTGACCCCTCCCATCGTTGCCGATAGCCCCGGAACTGTGCTTGGAGATCTTCCAAATTCAACTGCGCCGGCGCTTCGGCGGGGACAAGGATCTGGGGTTGTTCGCCCTGTTCTGGGTTGTCATGGTGCTGTTGGGTGGTACGCAGAGCTCGACGCGCGCTTTTTCCGCCCGTGGTGACGTGCGTCCAGCCGCTGGAGTCGGTGACTTCGAGACGCTTATTGTGATTGAGGTTTCTCTTGCGGTTGCTGTGGGGCATTATTGCAGGGATTTAACGGGGATTTCGGATAGGTGTTGAAATTGAGGGCATGGTGGTGGTGGTGCGATTGATTGATTGATGAAATTAATTGATCGCGAGGCGGGCGGTCAAGAGTGGGATTTTCGTTATCTTATCGGGGGATTTAGATTTGCATCGCGAACAAACCAAACAAATCACTCTTCTATATGGTTTATCTTCCAGATTGTATCTTGCGGTAAATGTCAACGATTCAATATTGATGACAGCATTGCTTATTTCCGATGCTACTTACACTATGTTAGTCTGTCAAACACCCCGTCAGCGGTTTTCATTTCTCAGATGATCTCTGTAAGCGCCCAGCCTTTGGACAGCGGCAGTGATGTGCCTTTGTTAGCGTCCGATTAGGGGCGCTTGCAGGACAGGCTTTCCACGAATGAGACGGCGAATCACGCTGCCGAAAGTGATGCCGCCTGCAGTGAGCGCCTTGGAGCTCTGGGTCGGTCCAATCCCAGGCGCTGATCAACCGTTTACTCCTCTCGCGCACATCCAATGCCATGCTGCAGCTGTCAAAGGTTTTCACAAAGTTTTGTGTTGCACTCCCCCATCTGCGGGTTGGATCACATCGCTCTTCGCCCTCCTCACTCGTCCGACATGATCATCTCCTCCCCACTGGGTCTGGAGGCGAGCGCGCTTGCAGGATTAAGACCATGCTTTGTGCCCCTCAAAAAGTCTTGTCTACCCGCCCATCCTCCTTCAGTTGCTGGAAGCTTGTTTCGATGATGATCGTGCTAAACGATTAAACTGGTCGCATATTGGTTGACGTCGCGTTGGCTTGAATATCGGATGTGTTTCTAAGTCGAGAGAGTTCAGGAGAGTTTTGTATCTCTGCGCTCTGCCGTTGTCGCTTTCACCTCTCTTTTTTTTCCCTCCCCGTTCTTAATCGACATCTCTGTCGAGCCTCATACTGTACACCATGAGGACATTCCAATCATCACTATCGCAATGGATGGCCTTCCTCCTTATGTGTTTGGGCTTGGCAAATGCCCACACGGTCATCGTTTATCCCGGCTATAGAGGGAACAACTTACTTACAAACGGCACTATTGAGGAAGCCAACGGTCTCGGGGTGGCTATGAGCCCCAACGCAACAGACAACAACTCCTTAATATACCCCTATGGACAACAATGGATCTATCCTTGTATGATGACCCAACAATAGCCTAACTAAGTTGTTATTTTGTTAACAATCGCTTATCCCACAGGCGGAGGTATGCCCACATCAACGAACCGAACCAAGTGGCCTGTCGGCGGCGGTGCGATCTCTTTTCAACCTGGCTGGTTCCAGGGTCACGCCACAGCATTCATCTACATCAACTTGGGCATTGGCACAGTACCCGAGAATATGAGCCATCCCATGATCCCACCTTTCCAGATTAACGGTCCTTCCAATGAGCCGTACCCAGGCACAGTTTGCTTGCCACAAGTCCCGTTACCGGCCAACATTAGTGTGAGTCCAGGCGATCATGCTACGATTCAACTCGTCGAGACGGCTAAACATGGCGCCGCCTTGTATAATGTATGTTATATATGCCTTGGGTCTTGTTCATAGATATGTGCTGATATGTCGCAGTGCGTGGATATCGAATTCGCGGAACCCGAAGACGTCGCCGAGGTCACCCGCGATAACTGCTTCAACTCGAGTCATATCAGCTTCTCACAGATCTTCGCTGCGACGTCGCTGACGTCGGATGCTGTTGCACATGAAGCAACAAGAGGGACGTTTACGACCTTACTACCTGCGGTATTAGCGGCTGTGATGGGCGCTATGATGATGTAAATGCTTATGTTTATCTTCCATCCACTAATTTGTGCACGTTTGTTACATTAACTTCACTCGTACATACCCAATATAGTTACCTTTTTTTTTTTTTTTTTCAGAGATGTCTGTAAACCAGCTTAGTATATAGTATCTGGCATGATGGAGTTAATCAATGTAAAACTTCACATTACTACTATCTAGCTTCTAGCTTCTATCATCAACTAGGCGAGCCACCACTCCGTCACTTACATAGGATAGAGAATCACCTACAGCCCCTGTAACAACTCCAGAATAACCTCCACCACAATCTCCGGACATTCCTGAGGCGCCCAATGCCCAACCCCATCCACCAACCTCAACACCCTAAAATCTGAACAAACCCTCTCATCCACCATCTTCTCCAATGCCCCAGGCTCCTGATAAATCCCCCAGTCCAACTTCCCCGACACAAAAGCCGCCGGCACCTCAATCTTCCGGCCAGCATACACATCGAAATCCCCGGTATATCTCCCCCCAGCAGCTGTCCGCACGCGATACCAATTCAACCCACCCTGAAACCCCGTCCTTGCATACTCACCCACATAAACTGCCAACTCCTCATCAGACAACCACGCCTTCGAAGCCGCAACCGCCACCTCCGACTCCGACTCCATATGCCTCTGTACAGCCTCCCGCATATCTGCCTCCAACGGCATAACATAATAATAAGGCAACTTCACCAACTCCTCAGCCGCCCACCCCTCCAACGCAAACGGCCTATTCCCACCCCAACTCCCACTCTTCAGATAAAAGTACCCACGCAGGAACTCCCCAAGCCCAGCTACAGGCTCCACCATATCCCCATTCGCAGGCTCAGTGGAATAATACCACTTATAATGCTTCCTACCCCGCGCCGCAAGCTCTCCATGCACATGGTCCCCCGCTGCAGACTCCGTCCCTCCACCACCTTTCTCCTCTCGCTCTCCAGAAGAAGAGGAGGAGCCACCAGCAGTCCCAAACGGCAAAACAGGACTCCCATTAAACGGATGACTCAGTAACACAACACTCTTAAAGAAATCCGGCCGTACCAGCGCACACATCGCCGCCGTGACGGCCCCGAGGTCATGTCCGACCACGCATTGCACAGATCGATACCCCAGTGCGTGTACAAGGGTCACCATGTCCCGGACGAAACTTGTGAGTGTGAACGTGTGCAGGTCGACCTCGGAGAAGGGTCGTGTGTCCCAGCCTGTTGTGCGGCCGAAGCCGCGCTGGTCCGGGGCTACGACGTGGTAACCTGCTGCGGCTAGTGGAGGGATGACTTTGCGCCAGGAGAAAGCGAGTTCGGGGAAACCGTGTAGGAGGAGGAGGAGGGGGCGAGGAGTGCTGGGATCCGGGTTGGATTCGAGGATGTGGAAGGTTAGGGTTTTTGTGGGGATTAGGCGGGTGGTTATTCCCTCTGGGAGGGGGAGAGGGGTGCTCATGTTTTTTTTTTTTTTTTTTTCTGTCAAACAACTGTAATGAGTTAGGTTGAATCAACTATCTACCTCGGATTTTTTTTCTTCTTCTTCTTCTACTTTTTCTGTGGTTTTGGTGCGGTTTGTTTGGGGCGTTGGAGTGTTTTGATATGGATGAGAGGTGTGTCGGTTGTTTTATACTTAGGATTCCAAATGTCGTGTAGATTAGCCACATTGATTACCCGAAGGGGGAGGGGTGTCAGTAGATAAATGTCACATGTAGATGTCGGATGAACGGGGTTGTTGTTGTGGATTAATTGGGCTGATTATTCTCCCCCTGGATGTCAATATGCATTTGTAAGAAACTTAATTCCTATAGTTTCTGAGACCTCGGTAGTACTACTAGTTGGGGATGCGATAATCATGTATAGATATGTCGTGCTCCACCTATGACATCATAAAGCACTTGAATTTCTACATGAAGCGTGAAGAACTAGATTCCTGTTCATCAGACGCCTTCCGGTACTACTCAGTAAATAATGCTCAGAGGCTGCGATTCATCCCCGGGAGCGTTGTACGCCACGAAGTAGCACATAACAATCTGTGTATAATATTGTAAGGTAGATAAATTTATAAGTTGGTACTAATCATTAGTGCTTATGACAACCCTTATGGAAGATTCCATGTGATAGAATGATGAGGCTAAATTGAGATGTATACCAGAAAATGGTATACCTGTTGGAACTGTTCTCTGAAGATTTCCGAGCTTTGATTGGTACGTACTTTGCATTCTTGGGGTATTGTTTTGTTGGACGGCAGTAGTCTAAGATAAGTTATAGCGTTCTACACGCCGTTCAACTTCTTTATTTCTTACATTCTTCGTCCTTTGCTCTTTGAAGCACTTTATGAACCCTTGAGAGCATCTGCATGAGCTATTCTGTTTATAGACCTTCATGTTCCCACTGATAGATTCTAAGAAAAAACTTTTTCAACCAGTTCTTCTCGGTCACTCAGTTTTATACACTTCTGAAGGCTTAGTCTCTATCTTTTCTATAAGGCAGCTTCGAATACTCTATTTCCTCAATGTATAATCTGTCTTCTCTATTTATAATATTATAAAGTGGTTTTGTATGAAGCCCAAAGAACCAGAATCCCACGTGGAGATTAAATTATATTATGTCATCTTCTATTGCTAGTTGCTATACCGGCCTTATTTTGAAATAACCAACATATCCTTGCTAATTTGTGGCCAGGGGTGGCATCGTCGACCGCCACTTGTACACTCGGTATTGCATCTACTCGATTCGATATGACTGGCGGATCGCCTGGCCCAATCGCTGAATAGCAGTGCCCATTGCTTCCTCACTGGCGCTTGCAAATGTTGTACGGAAGAACATTCCACTCGCAGGTGTGTTTGGTTCAGTGCGGAACCAGGCGCCACGAGTGCAGAGAACGCCATTGCTAATACCCTGAAGGAAGATTTCTTCCTCGAGCTCTTCAATGGAGCGATGGGGGTATTCTGGGTGTTTTGAATGGTCTACGTTGAGCCAGAGCTGTAGTAGTGCGTCAGTTAATGTTCAGGGAGCTTATATGAGAGAGTCATTGTCATCCTTTGAAACCAAAGAGACAAAAAGGAAAAAACTTACAAATATGCCCGCTGCGGGCGGCGTCCAACTAACAATGGCTTTGGGTAAAAACTGCTCGCAAGCGGCAAGCAGCATATTCCTCCTTCTGGTATAATTGTTTCTCAGATCCATCAGCCATTTCAAATATCCTTCATGTCCCCAGGTCTCATCAAGCAGCTTCCAGAGCATGAGTTGTGAGATCCCACTTGGGCCATGATTGGCGACCTCAGCGTGGTTAGTATATCGCTCAACTACTTGTGTACTGGCTGTAATCCATCCCAATCTCGATCCTGGCATGAGTACTTTGGAAAAAGAATCCATACGCAGAACTCGGCCGTCGACGTCAAGGCTCAGATATGAGGGGACAAGCCCGGTCAGAAAAGATTCAATATCGTCGGGAGACTTTTGTGCAGGGGCGCCCTTGCTTTGGTAGGGAGGCATTTGAATGAAGTAGTAAGGTTCATCTTCGATGATGTAAAGGTCATGCTTCTGGCAGATTGCATAGATTTCGCGACGTCGCTTGAGACTCTGGGTCGCGCCCGTCGGGTTCTGTCCCGAGGGAACAGTATATAGGACGTGTGGCTTTCGGGCGCCACGGACCTTTTCATCCCAAGAGCTGAGGAGGCCATCCATACTCTCTGGTAAGAGTCCTTCTTCGTCCATTTTGACGCCAAAGGCTTTAATGCCCTGGGGTGCGAAGGTTTCAAGTGCACTGGAGAAGGTATATTCTTCTGTAAGGATGGAGTCACTCCGTCCACGGTCGCAAAGCATGCGAACCGTTTGCTCAAGGGCACTCGTGCTTCCGACCGTCAGACAGACTTTCCAGTCGGCATAGGGCGGGTTGAAGACTAGCTCGGTGTGCTCGGTAATGAAGCGCGTCATCTGGGGTGAACCCGTCGACTGCCCATAGTTTAGCGCGATAGAGAGGTCATACTCTGAGAGCTCATTATTAACGTCGTATTTACCAATGCTGACAGTCTGGGCTGTAGGACTGTGGGGCGATAATGAATCTTTCTCAGAAAAGTGCGGCGGTTTGGGCACACGAAGTGTGCATTCATATAACGGAAAGTATTCGCTAGATGGGAGTCCACCCCCGAGAGAAATCAGGCCCGGGTTTTTGAGGTAGCCAGCGGTTTGTTGAAGCACGCAGGGCAGTCGTGACTTGCATTCCGAGCTAAAATGAGCTGGAGAGTCCAATCAGCAACTGAAGATATTCATGATCAGGTGGTATTTCTATGAATTGGGGTCTCACAGTCCCAGCGTTTAGCTTTCGGTTTTCCGGCTCCCTAGTTTTCGTGTTAGAGAATATTAAAGGAAGCTTGAGTGGGTGGTCTCACCGTAGCCTTGAACATGTCACTGTTGGCTTTAGCAGCTACACCAGCGACAAGCTTACCAGATGTGGCTCTTCTTTCGTAAATCTTGTTTAGAAGTCTCCGTTTTTCAGAAACTCCTGTACAAGCCGATTGAGTTGCAGAGTGTTCCATTACGGCGTCGGTCGGAGCTCGTCCGTAGGGGCGCTTCTATCGTCAGATTTGTTGGCTCAGAAACCAGCTCAAACATATTTAAGGGGCCCTTTCCCGAAGGTAGGGGGATATTTAAACGGCTCATATTGTGTTGTTAGCTCACAGTTCGAAACTGGGATACCTTATGAAGTCGGCGAAGAACTAGTACCAAGTCCGGCACGAGATGGGCCTTAGGGCGCGGTTTAGTGGAGAATGCGCCCTAAGGCTGGCTTATCAGTATCCACTCAGCCCGTTTTCAGCAAATAACCAACAAGCCTGTATTAGAGTAAGCCTGAGCTGCCCCACCCTGGCCTTTCGATTTTCTCTTACCCATACAATGGAAGAGCGATGTACATACGTTTAAGAGGGTGCAACCGTGCAAGATATGTTGAGCTTTGTGCTACTCGACCAAAATACCTTAGGCATTTGGTCGTGCCTCGAACGGAATAACCTGGCCAACAAGACAATTTAAGCGCCACTGAGTTACCGCGGAAATCCAACCTTTTCTAGGAGGCGCTCATATCGCGTACGAAATTCATTCGGACAAACGGCGATATTCTAGGCTAGTTGGAAAGCGAAAGCTAAGTATAAAAGTCCTTGGGTGGAGCTGCACTGGAGAGCGTCAATCATTTACCATTTAAATCTGTGGAAGGCACTGTCTCCGAAAGGCTGTCAACCACTCGTTATTATCCGCTACTGTTTGCTCCCATGCATCTTTATCTCCATATACCAGCCGCCTGGATTCATCTTGGAACATCTTATCGGTAGGAAAGATGCCATTTGCGATACTTTGTTGTGCGAAACGCCCTAGGCGGAAAGTCACCCATCTCAGATAAGATGTAGGTGTGAGGTCGAATAACGGATCGCCCTCCGAGTCGACTGCATCTAATTGCTGTTCTGAGTATATCTCTCCATTCCGTTGATAGATCTGTGACAAATGATCCAGTGTCGCCGGGTCGGTCGCAGAGAACGGCACCATGCTTTTAGCTTCAGACGCCAGAAGATAAGGGGGGAATCCATTCTTAATTTGAGCCGCAATGGATGGCTCAAAGCAATGGTCGCCTTTCCAGTCGCTCATGGTCAAGCCCTGCCGGAAATGACTCGCCAAATGATCGGCACGTGCCTGCCATGAAGGTAGTTTTTCATCGCAGAAACCACACCGAGAGGTGACTAGAGGGGGTTCCACCTTCCAGTCTTCAATGGTTGGTAAAACCTTAAGATTATGAAATCCTCGAAGGTGCTGTACAAGGTGGTCTTTGCGTCTAAAGAAACGCGGTTCTTGAGTGCTATGACAAGCGCTATGGTTATGGCTCTCAAGGTGATCGTCAGTCGGATCAACCAAATTGCAATAAGCACATTGGTTTCTCCCTGTCGCGGACAATACTGAACCGCCATATGGGGCACAAGCCCATTGATCAACGTTCAAGTGGAGTGATTTTTCGTGGCGAGTCCAATCATGCTTCCGTCTGAATGAATCGCAACAGAAAGTACAATGGAATATCCGAGTATCGCTTTTCTGTATGGCAGCATCATTGCGTGTCTTTCTCACTCGGCCTCTGAACTTGGGTACTGGGCTTCGGCGGCTGACTGATCTCGACGATCTGGTCGATGCAATTGAGCTTGACGAGCGACTAGTGCCGCTCTGAAGGCTTGCGACGGATTCCGCTCTTCCGCCTGAGCTCGAACGAACAGCCCTATTAGTAGACACTGTACGCAAGGCATCCGCTATAGCTGACAAAGATGCTGCTTCAGTTTCTGGAGGACTCTCACGCCATCTCTGCATCGGATCCATGCCGCAGTCTGACGAGATGGATGGGGGCGTTGATAATGAACTTCCAGTTAATCGGCTGTAGCTGTTACTTCTGCTGCAAGGTAGACTGGCATTCAAGCTATCAAAATCTCGTGAAGCCATGTCGGGCTCAAAGAAACTCAGGTTCTGCGTGGATGTTACACTAGGTGACTGTTGTAATTGTCCATCATAGCCAGCGGTATATGGCGGCTTCTGAAACTCTGTTACATTCCAGGTTCCAATATCATGGGTATCATAAAAGCTGTAGGACGACCCATCATCCAGAAATTCGTTCATCTGCATCTCGGGGAGTACCACCTCTTCATTGAGAGGGCAGATATCGAGTGGTGCATGTTGCGTATATCCAGAAAGGGATGCTGTGTGGTCATCTGATGTCACAAAATTTTGATTGGTATTGTCCCCCTGCAGCAGAGCTGACAGGAGACTGAGAGGTGCTTGAGCTACAGACACTAGTTAAGGGATACCGCCTTCTCGCAAGAGATTATTCCGATACTCACTATCAGGATACACACCATCAAAGTTAGTGATATTTAGGTCACCCTGCGGATCCATGGGGTGCTAAAGTTGTGCGGGGAGTAAGTAGTAGGAGAATCGAAGATGGAGGAAAAGACTAAAGAGTCAATCGACTCGGCAACTCGACTCGGTGAGCAGCCTTTTGCGCTAGTCTGCCCCGCCGAACCGTTGATTTATCGATAAGTCCCACGTTTATCTGAGACTTAATTTAATCTCATTAACAACCTCAAAAGTGACTCAAGTTCCAGAACAACCCATATGCCAAAATCCATGCGCAGGCCGCTACTGCTCCCGCATTCCTAATACTCCTCCCAACGCAATCCCACCACCCCCTCACCGCAGTCCTCATAAACTGTGTCCCCGTATGAACAACCGGAAATGGTTCCTTGGGCTCCTCCACCTCTAGAAACCGACACAGGGGTCCCCATCCATCCTGCACTTGATACTCCAGCAGTTGCCTCGGCGGCACAACCTTCCGTACATAATTGTAGTGCTCGACGAACATCTCTCGACATCTCTCTCCTTCATCTCCTCCCCAGATCTCATCCCACAGAGTAATGTGATGCTGCACGATTGCTCCTGCGTAGCGTGGATCCGTGTATGCCAGGATTCTCCAGGATGGCCATCTCGCAACGGCGAATACGGTGTCTTGCATTGATTTGAGCCATCTGTGCGGGTCGCGGTAGTTTAAAATGATCTTTGCGGTGGGGTAGGTGACGATTAGCTCGTCAACAAGGAGGCAGCAGGGGGTATCGATGATTGCCTATGAATTCCTTCGCTCAGCCAAGGGGGATAAGCATGGAAAGCTAAAGGATAAGAAATAGGGTGCGGTACGTCAAAGTCACTGGTGAGTTGGTCCATCTCGTCGGCTTCAAGTGGTCGGCCACGGTTTAGGTATTTCGCTTGGAGGCCTTCGGTCCACCGAGGGAGGTGACCGAGCATACATCGGTCGGGCCAGTCATAGGGACTGTATCCTAGTTGTTGGAGGGCGGCGGTGAGAGCTGTTGGGTGGTGGTTAATTTGGCATTTAAGGGATGGTGAGGACTTGTGACTTACATGACGTGCCGGTGCGGGCTAGTCCAAGAATCAGTATCTTCATTTCGCGGTTTCGAGGCTCTCGGACGTTCTGGAGGTCAGCCATCACTGAATGACAGTTATTAGGAGAAATTTTATGGGGAAATTGAGGACTCTTTCAACAAATGCGTAGGGAGTTAGTACAACGGAAGTCGGCAACTCAAGGCAGGTAGGTCGCACAGTCCTCACTCATACTCCGCCAGTCATATTCTACAGTGAATAAGACCATTATGGGCAGTAAAAACATGCTTAGAAAGTCCTCGATCGCTGGTCAGGGATTCTCCATGAGAAAAGAAATAGATCAGACTTCAGCGATATGAGGCCTTAGATACACACATCCGTACATCTGCCTGGTAGGATGTCACGTTGACCGCCCTCAGCGCAGACTGACTCGATTTTGGATGAACTGAAATAACCATACTGAAGTATTTTCTGATTGTTGTCTTACTTGTTTTAATTGCTTTAAATCAGTGAGATGGCTGATCTTGAACCACCGTAAGCTTAAACAGATAGTTATCATTGGTCAAACTAATGGGGATATCTGTCATACGACAGCAACCAGATCAGGCCCTTCTGAAAATTCGGGGTAAGACGACCAGAGGCTTGGATTGCTGTGGCTCTGGGTTATCCTTGTAGAATGGTGCCCTGGCTGTAATTCAGTACAAACTATTATCCTTCCTAACACAAGCTCGAGACATGTGACAAAGTGATATCTCTTTGCGACATTAACCTCGTTCTACCATCCAGTATATTAGACCCAATTTCGGTAATAGCCCTGTTACTCGTGTCTGAAAACTCAGTAGCGATGTTTGTATAACATTGTATATTATTTATGCTTTGAAACCGGAAAGTACGAAAACTCTCGCTATCATTAGTAAACAGCCATTCTACCAAGTAATTATTGGTTCTTCCTTACTTGGTTAGAAAATGATCCCATGATTGCCATTGTGGTATAACTTTAGAACCATCCTCTACCAATGCGAAGCACCCGTGTCCCTGGCTGCTCAAGGACATTATTGGCCATGTACCTAAAGCTAACTGTGGCACCTCTGCTAACGTCATGTCTAGCCTTGCGTAAATGCTTCCATTTCTTTGTTCTAAGACAATACGAGTGTCTCGAACCTTGAAAGGAATATCGAATGGTAGAGCAAACTTGTAAGCTTACTCGAAGTTAGATTATGAAGTTGAGTATATGTCTGCTCCATCCCGTTGGGGCCTGCTTCAAACGTCACTATAATACAACCTACCTGTATATGCACGATATCCTATCGATATATAGCAACAGAGTACATACTAAGGCTTCGAAATGCCTTGCTCACTTGAATATCGTCTAAGGCATCAATCCACAGCTGAGACTAACTTATATCGTTATTCTTACGCTAACGGAGCGTTCTCAAACCTTCTTCTCCCTGCTATTATAGTTCTAAACAAGAGATATTATTCTAATAAACATGGATCTGCAGCTACAGTGGGAACTGAGGCATTATCGATGTCCGCTGCACAGGCATTCAAGAGCTTGGAGATCTTCTGTGGCATCATCCTGTACCAAAGGAATGAGACCATTGACGAACCAACCATAACAATGCAAGTTATCAACTTCAATCTATGTGCAATACTCGCGTTCAATTTTAATATGAACCCCCCTGGCGTGGAGAAGGCCATCTCCCTTGCCGCTAGTACGCTCATGGAAAACTCTGGCTTAAAAGGGACTCCCATGCTCTATCATCAGACAGATACCCTACTGGAATACCATCCCCGTGATTTGCCATTCTGTGTCACTCATCATGCCCCGTTCCATCGGCATTTCTCTGGGATCTTCTCAGAGGCCATGGCAGCGCATGCGTACGGGGATGCAGACAAGGCGGAGCACCTAGCACGAACGCAGGATGCAGGGATAAAACTGCTCAAGCATCGGGGGAACGGACACGTGCTGCAGCTTTCACGCTTACAGGGAAAGCTTCTCTTGTCTTACGGGGTGAACCCTGCGAAAATCAGGGAGGTCTGTCCTTCCATCCAGCTCTCTAGTTCAAACTACCATGTCGAGAGCGAAATTGCGGAGGTCTTCAACACCGGCGGGATTACACTGTTCACAGCAGTTGCCAGGGTTGATTACTTCAAGAATGTGGACCTCCTCGTGGATGTAGCGGTAGCTCTGTGGTCCCAAAATATCTCTGTGCAACTCTTCATTGCCGGAGGTTCCAGTATGGACAGCACCGAGCTCCACAAACTGAGCAAGAAAGTACCCGGACAGTTCGCTCGATATGCAACTTTCCGATCTAAATTGTCTCGAACATCACTTCACGCTTTATTCCACCTGGCAAAAGATAATGGGGTTTTCATCTGTCCCTCCCGCTATGAGACACTAGGAGTCACACCCTTGGAAGCGGCCTTAAGCGGGGTGACCACCCTCATCGCCGATTCTAGTCATGTTGAGGCATCAAGATATTTTCCAGAGAGCTTCCGTTTTCAGCCAGTCAAAGAGGAACTATGTCAAGTAATTTCGAACTTACAAGGTCGAAATTTGGCGTCTTTGGGAGAAGTAGTCCGACTTCATGTGGAAGCCCAGGTCTCCGATCAACGATTCCGGATGGACTTGTATAATGCTTGGGCAGAATTTTCGATGCAGTTGAAGCCTATAAATCTCGATTGCCTCCCATGTCAGGGCAATAAATTGGCCTAGATACAGCAGCTTTTCGTCTCCACGTTGGTCTGCTCTGCGAAAGGATTAAATGCTAAGGCCGAAGTCAAGTCCTTCATTCGTTTCATCCGTGAGGAAAGGTAGCTATCAAGCACAAGCGATCACTATTTCAAATAAGCCTCCAATAAGGATAGCAACTCTCTACCTCCGCCCTTCTAGTTGAACTCATATAGTGTACTATATCTTTGTTCGTCTGGTGTTCTTCCACTCTATCCGGCAGCGCCTTGTCGTTAGGCAACGTCTCGCATAGTTTTCAGTTAGTATTTGTGCTGTACCTACACCTGGATAATTAGATTTTGATTGATGAAAATTAAGTGTGTATTACCGTTCTGGTTGGATAGGAACCAAACCGGTCTGAATGAAAGATCCAACAGACTTAACAACCGTGTTGGACGATGGACTCGTCTCGGTAAGTAAAATACCATTGTGGGGTCTACGTGTAGCAGAAGGTAGGTCAAAGGTTAGGCGGTGCTAATACTCCGATTTGCCAATTTAAAAGAGGATCTTGTAGTTTTGACATGGTCATTCTTATTTTCATCACAGAGTAATAAACGGATGTACCTTCTTATGCCCTGGCAAGGTGGCCGAGTGGTTATGGCGCTGGTTTTAGGTCTTCACCAATCACCAGTGGGAAACTTCGCGGGTTCGAATCCCGTCCTTGTCATAAAAAATTTTTGATTTTTTTTTCCACTGTGGTTTCTGTTTGTTGCTTGTCCAACTATCTCTGGGCCAAGAGTGTGTGCTGTAGAAGACCACTAGTGCCTACACATCTCCACCCCTAAAGGCTAAGGGCCTCGACTCAAGCCGCCTCTGTGTATTTTGAATACAGCCGTCAATCGCCCTAAGCCCTAACATCCTGTGCACCAATGAGTAGTCAGTTCAGCTGTCTTACCAGGTCTCAGTCCAGGATAGTTCTAGAAAGGGAGAAGAATACTGAACATTGAAAGCCATATCAGTAATTTTTTAGTCGACATTCAAGCTAAGAAGCACGTTGCAGCCGGGGCGATCTGCAGCAAGCGAACCGTAGTGTCTTGTCCGAGAGTTTAGATTGAGACTAATTGACCCTTTATAGAGTCTTCAGAGCTTCAGACATCGGCGCTATGAAGTAACTCCATCCATAGGTTTTTGTTTCTCGAGCATTATAATACTGATTGTATAGATTCTTGTTCAAGTCGCCAAGTGACACCGTAGCGAATTTCTCCTTATTAGCGAAATCGAATAGCGCCGAATTTTTTACAAATAGACTCGCTTTTCGTAGGGACTATTTAGTACACGGTACGTATCACATGTAGTGGGGGTATCCCATTTTATACCTTCCAGAAAAATCCCATATGATGTATAAAAACGCTATTCTTCAGGAAGTAGATCAACCCTTACGGAGAGTTTAAATTTATTCCCTCGAGGCAATACTGTTTGATTAATGTATGCAGCAATAATAATAAAAAAGGTTCAGGTTCCTGCGGTTGGTTTCTGTACTCTGTAGGAGGCAAAACTAAAATTACTCAGGGCCCAAAAAAAAACACAACCTTAAACCCTTAACCTGTTATATTTCGTATTGATTGCCCGATTTGCAACTCCACCGTCATGACGCAAGTTCCAGACTTTCTTCTTTTTGCTCTCCGCCTCCCTTTTACTCGGTACTCGTGGTTCTTTCTTCGACCACTGACTTCATCATTCTCACTGAGTGACGGATTAACTAAAGCGAATCCATGGGGGATTGGCTTCTTTCTTAACCTTGTTTTAGCTCTTGCTTGGCAAACCCTTCGAACTTCTTCCACTCACTGGTTTTTATTTCCTTGTGTTCCATCCCTCTCTTCTCAGTCAACAAAGCAGAACCCGTCAAAACAGTCGCATTTTATTCAAAGGTCCCAACAAGACATTTTGCCGGGGTGAGCGGAATACTTACTCTTAACCCTGCGTGTCTGCCTGACGGCGACACGTTCTAGGGTTTTTGTCTTACTCCGCCAAAATGTTCCGGAGACGAAGGAGGAGCGCGTCGCATCATCAGGTCGGTCTACAATATATGGTGATCTGGTCTAACACCATGAAAAACTAATACCAATGTCTATCTCTAGCAGCCCCTTTCGACATCTAATGCGCAATCGGCCCAGTCTGCCGCCTCCCATGCTTTCCTCAAGTCTCAACCGTCCTCATCGAGTCTTTCATCTGCCGCCGCTGCTGCTGCCTTACGGAGTCTCACACCCACTCCGACTCCAGTGGAAAATGTCCAGACGAAGAGAATGATCCAGCGGCGCGCCTCTGTTGCCTCCCAGTCTAGTATCGCCGGTAGTCTGCGCCCTTCTAGCCAAAATACCCTTCGTCGAGCCAATAGCTCAAGCTCTATGAGCAATCGGACCTTCCGGGATCAATCCCCTCGTCGTCCGGTTTCCAGCTCCGGACCAGTTCCCATCGCCCCTCCCATCCCTTCAATCCCCCGGGAATATGCGACCCGGACGCCCCCAAATCGGCGCTCAGTTAGTGTCGGGCCGTCCTTGCGACCAACGTCCCCTGTGAAGCGGCAGCCATCGGGCCGAGGAGTAAGCGTCGACCCGGCTGCCAGAGGCTCTATTAGCCAGCCACCAGCTCATGGCCACGAATTGGACCAGATACCAGAGCTCCAGAGAGCTGGAAGTAGAAATTCGATCAACTTCTCCTACCCGATGAACTCTCGGCCCAATTCCCCGACCCTGGCTTCTGAGCCCCTAGACAGACGTGACACTTCCGCTTGTGCATCCCTAGCTAGCCAATTATCATCTCCTGATTCCCCCAAGACCCAGAAATCCTCTCTGCAGACTGCCAATACTTCTGCGCGGAGGAAGACAAGGGGGGGTCTCTCGGGCAGTCCCGGGAGAAGTGTCCAGCCGGTAGACACTGCGATCCTCGCAGCACAAGCAGCGATCGTACCCCGAAGCGAGGAAGCGGCATATCAGCCATCCCCTCCTCGCTTAGCTGCGCCCCGAGACCAGAATACTAGAGACCTGGCATATAAAGCTCCTTCAGCTCGAGAGACTGGTGGTCGGTCAGTATACGACCAGCCAGACCAGCACCAGCCTCATGATCCTCCTGCGTTCAGTCAGCAGCTTCCAGAAACAGACCATAAACAGCCGCCACGTCCGGTTCTGATGAAACGACCTTCGACTGTCCCTGAAGACTACCCGGGGGAGGAACATGCAGAGGCAGACACTCCGGCGGAAGGGGTCGAGCATGGGCCTGCCGAGCGTTCGTTGCCCGAGACCAGGTTGACAGTCCGGACGCCAACACCTGAAAAACTAAAGGACCCATTACCGGGTTCTATTGTCAGCTCACCAGAGTCTACTAGCTCGATCGGTCCTGAACAGGAATCTCGGCAGCTGCAAGCTCGCCCGCCGAGCAGCAGTCCGGGGAGATCGACTCGCTTCTCCAGTCAGCTCTCGGTTATGGGTCTTGTTGGCGAACATCTGCACCAACCTCCTCCCCGGTCAGTGTCTCCCGCCAAATCAGCTATGAAGAATCCGAGAAAATGCTCACTGTCTCCTGAGGGAAGAACTGGGGTAGTGCTGCGGCCCGGCCCAGCTCTAAGCGAGCTCTCGGATGGGACATCTGTGGGATCCGATGAGGGTTCTAGACTTGGGTTCCGAAGAAAGCCTGTTAAGGTTAGCTTTGATGACGAGGCGGAAATTGTTGGGGTGGCTGCGAGCCCACCAACCTCCCTAGAAGATATCGGTTTTGAGTCGCCTCCTGTGAAGCCCAAGGGGAAGACATGTTGGTTTGGAATGGGTAAAAGGAAATCTGCTACTGTGGGGTCGGATGAATTTGATGAAGTATTCAAGCCTCGACCTGAGCTCCCTTCGTTTGGGAGCATACGAAAGGCGAGGGATGGCGAGCAGCAAGAACCTGCCCGGCAAGATATAAGTGACAATGAATCGACGACTTCCTCAGATCCTACTGTGTCTCCGATTTCCTTCTCGAGTGACCATGCCATTGGATCTATCATCTCAAACACACAGTCACGAGACGCCAATCCACATGCACAATTAGATCGAACAGTATCACCTACACCTGCGGCGGCAGCTCAGAGTGGCGCACCAATGGAGGGACTAGGCGAAAATAGTTTTGTTTCAGATCGAGGGCCGCAAACTGCACAGGATGCTCAGTCAGCCTCGTTAAACTCACATCAAGAGGCGAAGCTGGAGACAAGCGAAAACTTGGCAGTCCCTGGGATTGCAGTTCAACTAGCTACCCCGGAAGGCGAAAGAGGGCGGTCGAGCCTTGACTGGTATACCGTACCGGGAGGATTTCCACGGTCATCTTTGGAAGTTGATCCCACAATTCACGACTCTATTAGGCGAAAAGGCAAGAAGCAAGCTCCAGGCGATCCTGCGGTTGATGCGACTCGGAGCAATGTGAGCGATGAGGACGAATCCGGCGAGAGCATCTACAGTGATGCCGAGGAAGGACTTGAGGGAGATGGTTTTGGTTCTATCAATGCTGTGGTTGATGAGCCTACGTCCACCCAGCGCAAAGATGCAGTGGAAATCAATGAGACCACGGATAACAACATACACAACATTGAGCAAGTACCTACGAACTTGACTGACATTCCGCAAACCTGTCAAATTGCTCGCGTGGCAAATTTAGTACATACTATATCCCTCTCACCGGTTCCAGAATCCCCAAACTCTTCACATGAACGGCTTCCATACTCGTCTCCGTACCCGCCGTTTCCCACGCGGTCCAACAGTAGGACGAATGTGCGAGATGCCCCCCGCTCCACTGGCCCTACGGGTACAGTAAGACGGTCTAATTCAGTAAACGCTCCCAGCGGTCGCCCTGCGCGTGAAGCAACTAATTCGGTTGTTCATGGCCCGTTACAACCACAGTCTGGAAATGTTTCCAATCAACCGCGTCACAAGGTTGGCGATGAACAGATCAAGAAGCGACCCGCTTCGTGGGCCCCAAACTTGCTGAAAGGTAGTATTGATGACGATGTATATGTTAATTGGAACGGCTCCGAGCCTCAAAGGCCACTATCACACGGTAGTGACTCATCCAGCAGCTTCAAGAGATCAAATCGCCCCCGGACAGGATCCCCACATACGATACGACGAACTCTACGCGGTCACTCAAACAGCCCATTCCGGACTAATTCCCCTCAAAGTACAAAATTGGCACCTACCAATAGCCGGCCTCTTTCATCCGGCTCAAGTACTGGTGCTCTACGTGCTACTCTGCGATCGAACGATCCTCGACGTGAGAAACCTGCTTTCTTCTCTACCGGAAAAGTGCAGAAGGCCAGGATTCCAAAGCCTTCGGGGGCATTATTCACGTCACGATTCGCAGAGTCAGATGATGAGCAGGGTACAAATCAAAAAAAATGGCAAAGTCGGTTTGAAGATTCGAGCGACGATGAAGAACGCGTAGTGAATAATCTCCCTCCCGTTCGCGGCATACCCCGACGTCAAGGCGCTCATGATGGTGACTCAACAGAATTAGAGGATAGCTCCGATAATGAACGACCTGGCTTAGTTTCTAGGGCTACAAAGACGAAAGAAAGTGACGTCAGAACTACTCGAAACCCTGCGCTTGCCGCTGTGGCTAAATCTCGCGGGATGTCCGAGGAAGAAATGGAGGAGTTTCTCCGACAACCCAGTGGACGCAAAGGCAGTTTATTCCATCGTTTAAGCATTAGGAAACCTAAAGCACCGTCGGAGCGTGGGACTTCCCGATCTCGCTCAGAAGCTAGGAACGATTCTCTAGATCCTGAACAAGTGCGGGAGAACCCTTTGCTTGACGGTGCTCGGGGAAACACTGTCACCACGATAACCACAAACAATATTAGGCCATCCTCCTCTCCTAGGCGGCTCAGGAGGGGGATCTCCAGATCTTCGAATGGCGATAGTTGGCCCCTCCGCTCCGATCGCAAGGAGGCGGACGCAGGTGCTCCGCTCTTGACTCTGCGTTCCTCTGAGCGACCCCGAACGGCAGATGAAGCCTTTCGAAATGGCAGCACGGCGTCGAACGCCGTAGATGCTAGCACCAGGAAAGCCGATCTAGGTGGTACCAATGCCACAGATGCCATAGACGTGGAATTCGCCTCCGGTCGAAAGAAGCGATTCCCCCGACTCCGGAAGGCGTTTGGCCTACGAAACTAGACATGGTCTGCTTTAGAGTATGCATTCTATTCTTCTTACCATATCTATGGAATATCTGCTTTAATATTTTCCTCGTTTATTTATTTATAATACATTTGCCTGCTATCTCTATCTAGAGGGCTCCAGGTAGAAGGAGTTGGTGGAATAAGGAAACAGAGACTAATGAGATACGGCTTACTTTTATACGCTTTCGGTGGCCGGGACTGCTCGACAGCACAATACTACTCTAATACTGACATTTGATACCCCTGTTGGAGATGACATTCTTTGGCTACCAGGCCTGCGGCGGTCAGATACCAGGAATGGTTCCTTTGATTTGATTTAACTTCATTTATGATCCCTTACATCTATGTATCATTTATACAATGACATTTTGGGTTCGTTGTTAATCTATAATCAATTACTCTCGTGTGACTTTTTTTTTCTCGTTTGTTCTCCATTGGGATCATTTCTCGCCGCATGTTAGGGGGGAGTTGAGGGGTAAACTGGGGGCATAGAGAGAGATAATGACATGAATGCTAATACAATTGCATGTTCACTTTACATTACCATCCCTTTTGCTGAGAATTAAAAGTGAAGAGCTCTCATGTCCACCTTACTTTATAGGGGTCGATTAGTTATTCTTGGGCATTACTAGAAAGTGGTTCTGTCTATCCGCTAATCTTCCGCCAGAGTACATATATATATCTCTCTCTCTCTCCCTTGCTTCTCAAGCCATAGATGTATTACATAGTTATTATATACCTGCTTGCAATCGGCAATAAGAAATGAGTACATATTTACAATAACAACCAATGGCAGCGATTTGGCTAGATATACCTCTACATATAATTGTTTTAACATGTGGCCCCAAGGTCTCTAAGATGAAATTACTTATGCAGTACCCATAATCACCACTTATGATCCATATAACGTACACTAGAATGACCACTGGCAACAATTAAGGGGATAGTGCTGTCTTTGTACATACCATCAGTCAAGGTCTTCAATTGACTCTAAAATCATGCATAAGTCTACTCCCTGTCTTGGGTAGACTAATTGCTATCTCAATACAGAGAGCAAAAGTCAATAGTTTATACTGGCTGCCTAGGAGTAACTTAAACCCATCACGATGAGTAATTCATATTTCTAATTTTATTCGACCAATTAACCCTCTTCTATCCCAGGGCCATCAACACATCCCATATTTACATTTAAATGACGCTCTCATGATATAATATCGATATATTAACGGATGGTCGTGAGGCACTGTTCAGGAGTCAAGACGGTATATATTCCTGAGGTATAATACATCGCATAATTCCTCATATAAGTGGTAGACACTGGGCTGCGGGTCGGTAGAAGAGGGATAGCCCATGGTCGTCAGTAAGTATTGTTTAGGGGACGTTCATCACAGGTGTGTATAAAACTCGTGTAGATATCGAATCTACTGTGTTAGGTATCTCTAACCACGCTCATGTACTTCCCTGCTTTATCTCTTCTATGGACGGTAAAATATCTATAAGCCAGCCTCATCTGTCGTGATACCCTTCGCGCTGACGCAGAGTCCATCCTCGAAGGCGCTTTCTTCCGCACTGTCCACAAGGATGGGCTTGGGTCTTTTACTTGCGATCTATAAGAGAACAGTGGGGCTAAAGAGGGCACTATACTTAGCTGCCAACTAGGTATAGAGACGTGCTTGTCGATATAGGTAGAATCGTGGGCGTCGTTCGGAATCGACCGTGTGTATGTACAGTGGTATGCTGCACCCGGTACGCAGCGGGTATGGCTCGTTGACCTGTTCTCCAGCGCCGAGGCGAAGGTTATAGCAAAAGTGGAGCCTGAAGTGTCCTTCACTAGGACGAGCAAGAGGCTGTCTAACTCATGTGCCTGGTATACAGCGTTCGTCGTCGAGCTGGTAACGCCGTGCGATGCAGCATTTTGGTTTTAAGGGAACACATGCGGACCCAGGAGAAGGCAATAAAGAAGCCCTCGGCGCCTCCAAGTGACCGTATAACAAGCAGATGTTCTCGTAGAGACAAAATCGCCAGAGTCACCTCACATCACTCGAATACCCACAGCTCTCATTACTCAGCACTCATCTCTTGCGGCTAGTTGAACACACTCTGGACAATATCATCGATAATTTGAGGAGTCGGGGTCTCGAACATCCGGGCATGCTGAATACCCTAGTGGCCCAGGAACCTGGACTGCGGTGCCAGTAATGGCTGGCTGAGCAATAAGCGAGATTAGCTCAGATCAGCAAAAAAATGCGGGGACTCATCTCTATTTAGCTTTGTCGCCGGCATTTTCGGCATATACTTCTTACTTAACTTTCATACAAGTTCGTTCTGGGTTGATCTGCTAGATGGTGAGTCTGGTGACGCTACCATTCACGCTTGTCACTATCGCGATTTGGCCACTATGGGGCTTTGGTATGAAGGATCAGGAGGTCCGTGGCCAGGAGAATCTACTGCGGAATAGGATTAATGGGGTTGTGGGTTATACCTCTTCTGGACCAGCATATGTGAAGAGTGTTCGCCAATTATAGGCATGCTGGATACTATTTCCGTACAGTCATAGGTTTGACTGATGTATATCACATCGCTGTCAAACTTGGAGAGCCGTTTCATATACAGCGCTGCCTATTGTGTTGGTATACAGCCTGGGAGGATCAGCTCTACTCGACGGACGATCTACCAGCTGCGTCGTACCTACATTATCTAATACCTCCAAGCTAGCGACGCCTCCAAGAATTAAGTTAACCAACTAGTTCCTTAGCTCAGAGGCGATCATCATTACATGGTTCTAGAAGGAACGAAGTACCTACAACAGAACTTGACTCCTATCGTTGGCAATGTTAGCTGAGCTTTTTACGTATTCTGGTTCTCTCCTTTTCTCCTTTGGGATGATGGATCACCTACCGTGGTTCGCTTCGGTTAATCGCATGTGGGGAATTGTAATTGTGGTAGTGAGAGACTTAGCATCTTTGGTTTCGATATAGCGGACTGTACGGAGTAATGTCCATACTGTACACCGTATTATCATCATCATCATCATCATCATCATCCACCGTATTTCTGGCCGCAGCTGAGAATCAATAGTACCGAATATCAAAAATCCACATCACTTGTAGATGGAGGATCAATTGATTACCATGGGGAACTTGATCAATTATGGCAAGATTTTCGGGTGTTCTCCACTCCGATCGATTGGGACGATGAACTCTCCCCACATGCACAGCCAGAGGGACTCAGCCAGCCACCTGAATGGGAGCCGATGCTGACAAGGCTAGACCCGTGGCTGGCGATTCATGATTCATCAGGCAATTGTGGCAAAATATTTTCAGAAAGATAAGCCAATGCACGGGGTCCGTTGGAGAGACAAGGTTCAAGGAAAATAGCGAGGCAGGCGTGCGGACTACTAGCAGCCGTAAATTTGGAGCAATCATGATCGATCTCGGACGCAGACTAAGTGGAGCCCAAAAGCCGAGGGTAACACGGGCGGTAAAGCAGTGCAACTCCCAATGAAGAAGTTCCACGAAGGCAGGAAGTTGAAAGGAGCTGCACAAGCCGACGGTGGAGTCGGTCCCCATAGGTTCTAGTCCATTTACAAGAATTGACTCTCAGACTCCCATAATTGAGTTGAGCGAAAAGATTCGATGCCATCTCAGCCTGTGAAGGGACGAAAGATTATGAATTTGAGCCGATACCCGTCCGCTTCCAGCGTCGATCACCTTGAGCTCCGTGCCAAGGGATCCAGATGCCCGATTCGCCTCGGAAGAAGTGAAGGTTGCCATGGTGATTAAAAAGTGGGTGCTGGTCAAGGTGATTCGGGTACACTTCCATTCAGCCAGCGACAAATTAAATGATACGCACTAAACCACGTATACTCGGAGAAGTGCATGTGAAGAGTCTTAGCTTTCTTTCACAATGAAGAAAGCGGCGATGAAGCTCATATGGAGTAGATTGCGGTGAACGCCGATTGGACTAACTGGACCGGGAAAAGAGAAAAGTGGATGAGGTTGGATATATATAGTAGGAACTTTACTGCTTCTTTAGTTCCTTTGCGTTCGAAGGGTGTGCTTGATACGAAACATTTCATTAGACAGTGACTTGGATGTGTGTATTGGTTTCCCAAACGATACGATGGGAATGGACCTCGGGAGAAAGGGAGTATGAGCCAATTTTTGTCAGAGATACAGAGCGAGAGAAATAACAATTGAATTGATAAGATTGTGAGCTGAGGGGAGGTTGGTCACCCCCCACCCAAATCAGGGAAAGCGCCGTAAACAAACGCGTGTTGTCAACAACAACCAAAACGATGTAATGAGAATACTTAGCAAATGCTGTTATTATTTCTAGCTGAACTATTTCCCTACTCCTCCTCCTCTTCTCTCCTATCCATACTTTATCTCCTCAACTTCTCCTCCCTCCTCATCATTCCTCAAAACCCTTTAAGCTTATCTCGCATTCCTCTCATCAGGAATTCATCTCCGCTTTTATAGATCTATCTATCGGATCTATAATCGTCTCATTCACCTCCACTTTCCTTTCCCCACGAGAAAGACTACCCCTTAAAAAGTCTTTTCTTGTCTAGCCTTTCGTTCGTATCAGTTCGAAAGGCATTCGAGAAAAGACGCCAAAGGACAGCCAATCTGGACTTTGACGCTCGTGTCCCCATTCCCTTCAGTGTCTTCCCGTCGTCGTACCGGAGTGACGCTGTTCCTGAGCCTACTCTTGCACCTGAAAGAGTAGAGGGAGAAGTCAATCTCGATCGTCCTTCGCACGTCGAACGGGAAGACACTCGAACCTCTGCTCCTCTCCCAGATCCCCGTATCTACGGAAAGGAAGAGGTAGATCTACACGGCCAGCACGACTTTCGTCCTGTCCCGCCCCCTGCTCCCCCTGCCCCCCAGCCTGACCAATACTCGGTTTACACCGAAGACCGGTTCCAGCAGCAAGACCAGTATCAGCACCAAGGCCAGTTCCAGCAGCAGAAGCCCTATCCCGAGGTCGATCTTGCGCGTGAACGGTATGTTTATCGGCTATTGTGCATCTGATCTCAATTTCGGAGCTCCGATCTCCATAGACTATTGATTTTGTGATGGCGAGCTGCAATTGGCCCTGGTTTTCTCCAATATCACATTTGGAGAGAACCGGGTTAATCCGCCTTCAGCTCGCTTGTATTTTTGTTGTGGTCTTTCTTCCCCGATTACCCTCGGCCCCGGTGTATTTTTTTTCGTCTTGTTTTTGTTTTTGTTTTGTTTTGTTGGTACCCTTACAGGTGGGGACCGGGGATGTTCCACACCAAGTGGGGAGTGTCAACAAGCGGTGTCACAACATCAATAGTGGCTTCAGCTGGTCGGGGGGCTAAGGCCATTAGTCCCCCAAACTAATTACGTGGCACCAAAACAAAACAAACCAAATCATGGCACAGATCATATTCTTTTTCAAAACACTTTGCCCTCCCCCAGCCTCTCGTCCACAATATAATCACCCAATCACCTCGTCCCCCAACCCTCTTCTTTATATCTTAGTCTAACTTCCCTTGCCTTTAGCTATCGTGAACCTACCTCATCAGTCCGCTACCAAGAGACCCCTAAGGTTTACGACCAGGAGTTGTCCAACCAGCTAGACGTCACTGAGCGTGAATATCGTCGTCGTGTCAACCAGCCGACCTACGACGTCTACAACACCAACGCTAGCTATCAGCATTCTGGTGTAGAGTCTTACGAGAACCATCCACCCGTCTCGTACGACCGTACTCCTGCCCGCCCCCAGCTCAACGTCTCGTACGACCAGGCTTATCAAGCTCCCCCTCTCGACACCTACGTCGGCTCTTCTCAAAGCCAACGTCCTTTGTCTGTCGAGCCAGCCAACGCTCCTTCCCAAGTCCAGACTCTTAGCACTACTACTGTAGTTGATCATCCCCCAGCTCGCAAGATGGGATACTACGACGACAACGGTAACTACCACTCCTTCCGTCGTGGTGTGGAACGCGCTGCCGACCGCATCATGCACCCTTTCCACCACCATGATCATCATCATGGTGAACATCATCATCATCATGATCATGACCGTCAGGATGTCGCCGTTGCTGACGATCGCGGTCCAGTTTCCCGTGGTGGTTCCCGCCAGGCCATCCGCGTTGTTGAGCCCCGCAGCGGCGGTCGCAAGAACGCTGACACCGTGCCCATTCCCTGCAACTTCATTCGCATCGGCGACATCTTGATCCTCCAGGGCCGTCCCTGCCAGGTCATCCGTATCTCCGTGTCGCCCCAGACTGGCCAGCACCGTTACCTCGGTGTTGATCTCTTCACCAGCCAACTGCAGGAGGAGTCCAGCTTCGTCTCCAACCCCTCTCCCTCGGTTGTCGTCCAGACCATGATTGGCCCTGTCTACAAGACCTACCGCATCCTCGACCTCCGTGATGGCGAGATCGTCGCCATGACCGAGACCGGTGATGTCAAGCAGGGCATCCCCGTTGTGCGCCAGGGCGACCTGTTCAACCGCATCAAGGACGCCTTCGAGGACGGCCACGGCAGCGTCCGTGCTCTGGTCATCAACGATGGTGGTCGCGAGCTCGTTGTGGACTACAAGGTTATCCAGTCTTCCCGTCTGTAGATCATTTACCCACTTTGGTTTAGCCGATACCTGGTTAAGGTTAGTTTATCCGCAACTCATTTCGTTGGGTCAGGGGTATTGACGTCACAGAAATCTATCCGCACGATCAATCACGACTGAATGTTCTATCTCCAATGGATGACGGTGGATGGAAGTGGCCTTTGATTTTCGCAACGTTTTCAATTTGCTTCAATTTGTATGATGGATGGCCTTTGTACCTAGCAACGTAATATACTCGAATTGGTTGATGTAAATTTTACCTTCGCCATGCGTGTCTTCTGCATACCTTGCTCTGTAGTTGCCCTTGATACATAAGTCTTATTACGCGTAGACAGTGCTATGCTCAGTGATAGTTCTCAACGCCTCGTACACAGTCTTCTTGTCTTGAGTGGTCGTGCTGTCACCACAACCTGTAGGTATAGATGCAAAACACCAACCTTAATCCAGAAAGCAATCTAACTATAGACATCATAGGCTTTCATTACAATATTACAATTTTGTTTTCTATTACTCCCTCGCTTTCTCTGTCTCTCCTTGTGTCATACATCCAAGTAGAATGTACTCTCTTAACCTCCAATATAACTACTCTTCTCTAGGTCATTGGTACCTAGTTTCCCTATGTATACTTTCCGGCACACCCCAACAATCTATTCTTTGAAGATGCCAACTCATCCATCCAGAAAAATTGGAGATCCCAATTGACAATGCAATAAAACATTCAAGCAAAGCCACAGAAAATAGATTAGTATCGAAGCTCTTGGGAATTTATCTCACAGAACCATCTGATAGCCTTATTCAAAAGGGGTCAGACATAGAATGACGATTCCTCTGATCAATGTCGTCTTCTGTATGAGATGGAATGAAGCTTAGGATTTATATTTCACATAGAAAAAAAGTTACAAGTATCTCAGTTTCAACACGTCAACGCGTCCATGGAGACATCAAGGAGAAGGAAAAGGGAAAGAGAAATGTCCGGATGGGCGACACTGTAAAACCCACTGGCTAGCCAAGCGATGAATGCAACCAACCAACACCAAGACCGCCGTGCTGTAGTGAACCGAGGAAAGACTCCGATCAAGATATGAATCCAGGAGAAAAACACCACACAAAGCTATCTCTCAACATGAATTAAATGAAATGACTAGGCCGTGTAGTGAATGTAAACGTCCTAGAAGCAAGGCGCCGCCGCACCCGAGAAAGAAACCAATATCGATAATCAGTATGGACTATATCCAAAGTCACTGTGACTGTAACGCCGTTTTTCGTAAAGAGGATCAAAGCAAAAATCATATTAAGCAGAAAAGTGTACTAATGCCGTAAGTTTCACGTAACGCCGCGACCGGTCCAAGTTTAGACTGTTGCTCCAGTATCCGTAATGTACATATCCACATGTTGAGAAGAGACGAACAGGGTATCGTACGCATCAAAAAGCATCCCTGGTGGAAATTTTTGCCCAAGAAACAATTGAATCACATGAGAAAGGACGAGAGAGGAACCCAGAGTAAGAATGATGTTGTCACCTCTCGCCGAATTTCCCATACTCTTGCTGCCACTTGAGGAGGTGCCGTGTAAGCACGTCCATCATCTCAACACTGCTTAGGTCCTTGAATTCCTTTTCTGTAGATATGGCTCCAGCTTCTCCATCGGTCGTAGCTGTACCAGAGTCTGCTTCGCTAACCGTCGATGCCATGGCATTCTCAAGCTGCTCACTCACAGCCTTCATGAGGATGCCGTTAAGCCGGTCACTATTAATCCCCGGAGGTGTAGTACTCTCACCAGCGGAGGCCATTTCCACTTGCATTCGGGAGATGAACTCCAGAATGGCGGCAACGCGTCTCTTCATTTCATTCATAGTAGTTCGTTGGTTCACATATCGCGGTCGGCTAGGTTTCCCTGACTCACTGCCGTTCAAATATGTCCCATTGGCTCCACCCACTCTAGGTGAATCTCCGTTGGTGTCGTGGGACTGTCCACGCCGGGGGGAATTCATCATGAAGCTTGAGTCTCCATTGCCATTAACATCACGGTCTCTAGTATATTGATTGCGGCCCACTCGCCCACCGCGGCGTGCGGGCGGTCGACCAGACTTTCGTGTAGATGGACGGGAAGGTGCAGGTTCTGGGGCAGGAGCTGTTGTGTCCGGACTCGGTTGTGGTGGTTCTGGATTCGTCGCAACTGGTTTTGTTGGCGAAACCGCTTCGTGGTCAGAGTCCGCACCTTTACAAGCATTAGCCTCGCAGACACGACAAACCATAGTTGGAGCACTACTAACCGTCACCTTTCCGTCGATCTGGCCTTCCTTTTCTACGGTTTGTCGCCTCAGGCTGTTCGGTCTCAAGCTCCTCGGCATCTTTAGTTTCCTTATTATGCTGGCTTCGGGATGCAGCTCTCTGTCTTCGAGTCCCGTTTGTGGCAGCCTTAGCCTTTTCGTCTTCTGATGCCGGCTGGGATACCGAATTGCTTTGTTTATTCGAAACAGCACCGGGCGACGGTGAGCTTGTGCGCTGTCGCTTCGCCGCCTGTTTGTGTCTAGAGTGCGTCTCCGTTAGCAATTCGTTCTCAGCTGCCATTGATCCAGGCGGAGTTACCCCACTCCGTCCCATATTTACTTACGCTTCGCTATCACTTCGACTTCTTTTCCCTCTCCGGGCTGCAATCTCTTCTGAAGCTGGCTTGGTTTCTTCCCTGCTTTCCTCGATTGCACGACGAATCTGCTCTTCTTCGTCATAAGCAGCGTCGCGGCTGTTCATCGTCGACCGACGCTTAGGATTAGACGGATCATTTTGTCGCGATTTGGAATCTTTCGCCCGCTTAGAATTATCACGGGATGAGTCTCGGGAGGAGGAAGCAGGGGAGGGCGGGGCGACTGGGAGGTACTGAGACGAGTATTGCCTGTTAGATGGTAAGCGAGTGCCCTAATCGTAACGTTGGGATGCTCAATGGCGTCTTCCAAAAAACGGGACGTAAGAAATATCGAATGAACGAGGAAAATTCAAATGTTCCAGTGGACCATCCAACCGGAAAATATCCCAATGGTACCTCTCCACAGGAGAAGAACAGGCTTCGAGGATAAGGAGGAAAAAATATTTTCAAGTGATGAAAGTAAAAAATCAAATAACTGTGGTAGACATACCCATTTGACTCGTTCTTTATTCTGTGAAGATCTTTGCGGCATTCTTCACAGAAATATTCGTCGGGGCTCATGGCCTCGTCCATGATTCCGACACAGCCACCATGTTGCCAAACCTTACATTGATCACATTGAATGAACATACTTCCGATATCATCGGACATTAAGTCTGATGAGTCCGCAGAGAAATTCAAGATGGGGTCATCTTTAACTCTCCCTTGCAAACCATTGCGACCGAGAAGGTCCCGACGAGAAGGGGGAAGGCCTGGGTATTCCTGTTGGCCGCAGAGGCACCTGGTTATCTCCTCCTCCTCTTCTTCATCTTCTTCACCCTCCTCTTCCTCCACCTCAGCAATCTTATCTATTTCTTCGTCTCCCCGGGCGCGCTGACGCTGCCTCGTCTGTGGGAAGTCAAGTTTGGAGGCGTCGGCATCGTCGATGGATTGGGAGCGGTGGTCCGACGACCCCTGAGGGGACGGATTTTTAGCGTGGGAACGAGTACTTCTCTCACGAGTCAATGAGGCGGAAGAACTCGAGGAATTCGTGTGTTGAAGAATAGCGGGCGAGGGTTGAGAGGTACGGGCACGAGAGGAGCGACGAGGAGTCATGGTGGAAAGCGGCGGGTATATAAGGTGGGATAGGGATAAGGAATTCTAGTCTGACAGTATAATATCCGTGAGAATACAAAGATGCACGATGGTATAGCTATAGTGAGTCGGCGGAGGGCGATGTCGAGCAGACGCTGCCCGTGGGCAAGCTGTCGCACGCGAGTGGAGAGCTGGGAGTTGAAAGCGACTCGTACAAGAATGAAAAAAATGATGCAGAGGGAAAGCAAGAGTGCGTGAAAGAAAGGTATAGGAGCTGGCAATTGAGACAAAAGGATAAGAAGATCCAAAAGCAGCGACAGCAAGCTCGCACCAAAGCCGAGGACTACATAGTCTGAAGGGTGGGGGGAAGCTTTTTGTGAGAAAAGCGAGCGAGCGAGAGAGAAATCGAGTGAGGAGAGCGAGAGAAGCGGAAAGCGAGCAAGACTTGAGTGAGTGACGGGAACGGTTACGGGCTACGAATTGCTTGCCATGCCTGAGTCTTCATTGGCTGCCGTCCGGTCCGCCTTCTTCCCCGCTTTCGCTCTTCCTCGCGATGCGAAACTTTCGACGCGACACACCATTTCACCAAAATTTCCCCTCTAATCCAGGCAGGACCCCAATGATCTTCCTTTCTCTTTCTAATCACTAATATGGAGGTTTGCATACTCTAGAGATATTATCTTCGTTTATGTCTACCCTTTAAAATTCACTGCGGTGGGTGGTATAAATGGTGGATGCGTTCCCGCGCAGATGGAATTATCTCCGTCCAATTCCAAAACCCCGCGCTGATAACATCGTCATCCTGCGATCGACTCTACATTCCTTCCCTCCCGTCTCTTTCCTATTATTATGCTACGGAATGACTTTTCCAGTCGCATTCTTTTACTACTAACAAATGCTTGAAAAACAGCCTACTCCAAAGCCTTACCCTGCGAAAATCAACGGTACCTTCGGAGAAAGACAAAGAGCCGCAGAGCGGTAGAGTCGGCAGAACCAGACCGAACTTTGAGGCACAAGGGGTCGCAATGGCCCTAGTTGCCGTCAAGTTACAAAACGCAAACACCAAGGAATTGCTTTACTAGCTCAGATCCAAATCTAGTACGAACCTGTGTTGTTGGTTTTTCCTGGTTTGCGCCTGGTTTGCAGACATCAAAAGAAAGCGATCGCATTACGGATGACCACAGTTGGCTAATGCTGTCTTGGACCGATAGGATGTCCGTCAAGTCACCATGATCCACAATTCAGTAACTTGGTCCTATACTAATTTCACACCAGCTCCTCAAAGATATCTGCTTCAGGATAAGCTCGGTGAACCGTGTGCCCTTCTCGAACCCTGTACACGAACGGAACTTAGGGTGACACGTGTGTGCCTCGTAACAACTCAATCTTCGTGGGATTGTCAAATTGGACCACGCAGAAACCTCGAAACTTGCTGAGGCTATGGCACATACTTGTAAGATTCATGTGGTGGATGATACGGGAGAAGCGGGCTAGTTCCTTGCAGCGATGCGAGAGTTGAGATAACAAGGATAGTAAAATAGACTTTGGGAGTGTCAGCCGTAGATCATGACATTTGTTTTTATTTTTTTTTTTCCCTTTTCTCTTCCCTCTTCCCACTTCCTAGTAAGACTATAATAGGATTAATACAGAGACCCTAAATTCCAACCCCATAAATAGCGTTACTTTACAGGGTTGTCATTCGCTGATCGCCCGGGTATTGTCTCCTGTGACATTGAATGACGGCCGACATGCCGGATGATATCCCCGACCCAAATGGGATTAGCGGCCGTCTCTGGCCTGAGGCACAGACACTAGTAGTCCGCAGCTCCAGATGAACATTAGTTATTATTATTAACGACGACGAGACGATTCCACACCCCTCCGCTTTCTTCCTCCCCTATACTTCCCCCTCGTTGCCCGTTTCCATTCCCCCTTTCTCCGATTGTTTGGATTGGCCCGTTATTTCTTCTTATTCTTTTTTGTCGTTCCATTTCCTTTTTCTTCTGAGGTGACGGTCGGTGATTGTGCCGGGGTCCCTACCGACAACTTGGGCTACCAAAAAGTCTGCATCGGCGGTGTCGGTAAATAGTTCCCTTGGTGAGTTCTTCTGTTTTTCTAGATAGTCCTTCAGACTGTCATTGGCGTTTGAGACCGGGGGAATCTGGAAGAAATTAGGCACCGTGTCGCCGAACTTAGTCTCGAGTTGTGGTTCGGTTGGCAGCATTTTAGAACATGACAACTGACAGTGGGTATTGGGGCTTAGGATCATCTCCGTATTCATCCTTTCTTTCCACCCTCACCATATCAGGTTGGGCCACAAAGAATATCACTCTAGATAATTTCAGCAAAACGGATCCTAGCACTCGCTACATAAAAAAAAAAGAAAAGAAAAGAAAAGAAAAGAAAGAAAGAAAAAAGGGAAAGAAGGAAAAAAACAGCCTAAAGTGAGGAAGCGGGGGAGACAGTCGTATTCATCATCAGCAAACTGGAGTGTCAGGAAACAAAAGCCCGTGTGGCTGTTGTTGTGGAGGTTCAAAGAGACGAAGATACTGGCATGATGACTGCTACGCTGAGTATGTCCTTTCACCAAGGATGCCTACTCCTCTGGGGGACATCATCTGGCCTGGATATGTGTCATTTCAGGAGATTTTCCCAGGGCTGGATGACAAGCTCCCGAGAGAGGATCTGCCGGTTGTTCAGTTGCTGATACTGTCGCCCGCAGATGGGATGTATAACACAGCCCCAGATACTCCGTCGCCTGTCTATCCGGATAGGCTGATCCGTCCCCTTCCCAAACGTACTCTTCGCTCTCGGCTGTCTTCCGAGGCGGCCGAGTCTATCCTCTACCCCCCGGCCCCCCCAGCGACCCAACTATTCTACGGAACGTGTACAGATAATGGAGAGGCTGTGAATGAGTCTAAAGTGTATGTACAGCAGTGTGACGGCCCTGAACAGACCCCTGAGCGCGACCACCACCACCCTTATGAGAACGGCTTTGACGCGGAGAGCGGCGACGAGGATGGCCCAGTGGTTGTGCGCCGCAGTGCTGGCTTTCGTGAATCGTCCCCGTCCCCGACGATGCCACCAGGGCAACCGGGAAACGGAGCACGGACGCAAATCAAGTCGTCCTCGGCAGGTCCCGACGGTTATGATGCCTTTGAGAACACTAACAATAAGAAGAAACGCAAGATCCCCACACCGGGAACCCTGGCGGGTCACCACTCCACGCTCTCGCCTGAATTCTCCAGCATGGGTCTCGCGAGCTCCGCACCTACATCTGGGGAAGGAAGTCATGTGAGTACTTTCTATGGCACTGGAAGCCCTGCATCCCCTGTGTCCAACGGTCTTTCCGGTGCGGGGAGAGGGCGTCTTGGGCGTCATGGCGCTCGTAGTAGCATAGGCAGGGCTTCGTTGTCTCTCCATACTCAGGTCAGTTGGCCACAAGTTCGGACGTCAGGTCGCCGCGACGGGGTTTCGTCTTCACCAGGTATGTATACTCGTGAATCCACATATCCTTCCGTTCTTAGTAGGGAGCTTTTCTCACACCCCAATGTAGTTGATACCACTGCCAAATCTGATCAAGGAATCATTTCTGCTGCTATAGCCAATGCTGCAGCCTCGGCATTCTCCTCGCCTCCTCGAGGATCAGGAAATGTTAGCATGCTGGAACAGCAGACTACCACCCCCACAAAACCCCAGTTTACCTTTACGTGTGAATCCGACTCATCGAAGGGTATGGCACTGCAAGCGCAGAGTCCATACCCCGCACATCGTTCACCCAATTCCCTACCCCCCGCTGCACAGAACCAGAGAGGGTTCTCTACACAAGGGACGCAGACCAGCCCCCATGCCGTTTCCCAGATGGATCAGCAAGGACAATTATCACACCGAGCTCCAGGGGCAGAGCCGACAACCGTGGGTAAAAAGAAGAAGCGGTCACCTGGGAGTATCTATGCCCTGGCTGCACGCCAGCGCAAGATCCAGCAGCAGTACGCTAACCTTCACCACCCACCAAGCATGGAAGACATCTGGATTTGTGAGTTCTGCGAATATGAGAGTATCTTTGGTCGTCCCCCGGAGGCTCTTATTCGGCAGTACGAGATCAAGGATCGCAAGGAACGGAAGCGATTGGCAGAGAAGAAGAGACTACTGGAGAAAGCGAAGATGAAAGGTCGGAAGAACAAGAAGGCGACGAAGAACGTGACGAAGAATGCGGCGGCTCAACCAGCGGCCTATGATCAAGGATATGACCGGGCGTCTGTCGATCATTCCTCCATGGGTGGGGCAGGACTGCATGACGATGACTATATAGCAAATGAGGACGACGAGGAATCAGTTGCTGCATCACCCCCGGCGCCACCAGCCGCCCCGACGTGCTTCAAAACTCCGTTACCGCCGGGGAACCGGGCCACGGCCATGGCCGGCGCTAAAACTGCGACAGACGGGGGGACGACTCGACCACCCTGACAAATAAATGCGCGGCCCACTCGTGTAGAGTGATGTTTCACTCTTGAGGCCGTGCTTCTTCGTATCCTTTGTCGTCTTTGCGTTATTATTAGTCTTGGTTTTAGCATGATCGCATATTAGCCTTTCGTTTTCTTTCTCTTTTTCAGCAAATGGTTGCATAATGAATCCCCACTCAGAGATACTGATGAGCATGACGTCTACAGTATAATGCATGAATTTCCTGGCTACTGGCTGTAGACCAGGCTGGTATTCGGTATCGAATTATTTTTGTTATGTATGTTGACATCATATAAATCTAATGCCTACTTTTTTATGATCATATGCAACTCCCAGAACCCGTTCCTGGTGGCTTTTCCAAAGATGCCACGAAGGCAGCTATGTGGCTCGGATCCTGATCAACTATCTGTGGAGGAATCGTGGCCTAGTATATCTGTCGGAGGCCTCTGTAGCTGGTTCCCCAGATCGATCCGGCAAGGCCACTGAGGTTCCGAAGGATTTACTTGCTTTGCCCTCAATATGTTCGACGTGGCTGTTCCAGTTGAGTGTGCTATCTAAGATGAGTCTGAGAATTCTGCACTTAGAAACCGGCCTCACCTTTTGACCGCCGAGCCAGATGGGGTGGCTCACATTTCCATTTTGGGTGTATTTCAGCAGATGGATGAGGCCAAATTTCGTCAAGGAAGCTAGCCACCCATTTCACGACCCGAGTAAACGCGGATATGGTAGTAATCTATTTATAAAAAACTACTAAAAAGACAATAGCCCCCACTTCTCATGGAATATAGATAGTAAAATATAAGTTAAAGTATCTTGCCTATTTCTGACATCGAAATGCTTCATGGTTCTGATAAGCCATAAAGCCCGTCCCGGGAACGCATCCAACATACTCAGCATCAATTTCAGGCGCCTTAAGTATGTTGGTCTCCACCCACAAGGCCATTTTCCCACATTCTGACATAGCCCCACCTGGTCCATATGTTTTCAAAATATTGTTACGCAATGCAACATGGCCTTTGTTAGATCGACCCAGTCTTTCCATGGCCCTAAGATCCATGAAGTAGAACAGTTCGATCTTTCTGTTGTGCTTGTGGAACTCACTACCTCCTTCCTTGTAGGTCCCCAGGCGCTCGTCGTAGCACATACGGGATGTTAAAATTCCCGCTTCTGGGGCTGCCTGCGAAAGATCATCCATCCACTTGCCGACAGCTTGGTCAAATTGATCAAACCAAACACCTCTTTCAACTCCTGTCATCTCAGAAAGATCCTGTCTCTCAAGGGTAAAGCAGATATTGTCAGGAAACCCATTGACTGTGACGCGTCCCAACCTCTTTTCTTTGAGAGAGGCCTCTCGTTCCGGTAGTGGCGGCGTAGGCAAAAGGGAATCCATGCGGTTTTCTTTAGATAGCTCTCCGATTGAATCTCTCATCCAGCCCCAGTAGCCTTTTTTCTCAGCCGGCTTGTGGGGGAAATGGACACCTAGACCTTCTTGCCGGTTTTGTGTGGCTTGGTAATGGGATCGACCGTATGGGACCTTGACAAACTCGCGCCATATGCCTGCATCAGGAGGGAGAGACGACCAAAATTTAACAACATTGTCTGACTCCCACCATGCCTCGAAGTCGGCGATCGATTTCCATGTGGCAATCCATATCCGTGTCTTCCCTAACCCTGGTGAAAGAATCCCATCCTGGGTTACTTGATCAAGGTGGCAGTTGGCATCATTCATGAGATGACTGAATGTTCTGATAAGATTCTCAACAGCAGGTGATTGAAAACCGTCGGGCTGTTGAACGCCAAAAAGAGAGTAGACAAAGGTCCCTTCCAACGGTTTCTCGATGGTGTACATGGTGGTTTCCGAGGGGGAAAGATCTAAAAATGGCCTTTTGGTTGAATGAATCGTCCTCGATTCTGATAATTATTTTGGGACGACCTTTTGCTGGATTTTATACCTCTCCTGTCTTCCTTGCGATGCGGGATAATTGGGCAGATGTTCTCTGACATCAGTGATAAGATACATTATTTACTAATCGTGGAAACGAGGGGATGGAATACGAATGAAACTTTAACCCCGCCAAGACCTATCGGAGTAGTTTTCCCATCAACTACTATGTTTGCGCCAGGTCGGATCGCGATCAAAATTGTGACTGGTTGATGTAGCAGCACATATATATAGCTATTGTCGAGGCATCCAATGGAAGGTGAAACGGAATAATGGGCATAGGGATGAACAATGGATTGTTTGGGAAGAGTGTCCTTCGTCTTGGCAGGAGGAGCACGAGTATTGACATTGATCAGTGGTTGAGAAATGGACGTTAAGCATAGTTAAAATCATGACAAGCATTGTCCTCCAATCAACCACATCCTGTTTCGCAAGCATCGATGGATCTTCTGCAGACCCAAATTTAGACCATAGAGGATGGTCCCCACCCCAGCGCTTCCCCGAACACCACCCAATCCCAACAACCGTCCATTCTTCAGCGCCTAGGTACCGAGTATGTACAACCCTAGTTAGTTTACATCAAGCTAACCAACACATCCAAAAACCAAAGCAACATCATTAAGCGCGCGCAACCTCTCCCACGACCCCATAACAAGAACACCCCCTGTTTCAACAGGAGATACGAACCCACAAACGAATGGACAGGAACTCCGCAAACCATCCCAAGAAAAAAGGGAAAAAGAAATAGCAGAAGATACTTAATATAGTAACACTCAAAACGACAGGCCAATACACAGACAAAAGCGAACGAAGACAAAACAACTGAAACCCGTCTATACATCCATCCATCCATCCATTGACAACAACGACAATGACGGGCATATATAAGGGCGTAAGTCGACACTCCCATTCCATCTAGATAGATAGATAGAACAATCACAATCCCTCATCCTTCACTCCCTCATTGAAGATCAATCAGTTTCGCCTTTCTGTTGTCCGGGACTTCTACCATTGAGAAGAAAAAGTTCTTTTAATCCTCTCGTTCGGCAAGCGCCTTCTTTCTCTTATACCCATCCTCACGAATAGATGCCCATTGTTGGGTCTTAATTCATATTTCTGCGCTGGATCGCTTTCCTCCGAGACCTTGAGAACTTACTGGGGTCTGGTCTTTTTCTAAATTCTTCTATCTTAATCTGGACTTGCCCTTTTACTTCGGCTATCTACCTGCCTACCTACCTACCTACCTATCTACCTATCTATTCATCTTTGAGTTCCCTACAGTCTCCTACCGGTCAAGTCCCACATCTAATACAACACACCCACATCCACACCTACCACACTTACAAAGGAAACCATCCAAAGGACCCCAAAAAATGTGGTGGATGCTCATCTTCAAAGCCTTCAAGGTTGGCAACAAAGCCTACAAAAGCCACAAAAACAAAAACGGCAATGACGACACCCTAAACCCCAACTCCATCAACCTCGGCAGCACCATCACTCCAGCACCTCCACCTAAACCACCCCTCAAGACCCGTCTAAAAGCCCACATCCAGCTCCTCCTGCACTTCCTGCAGCTCGTCTTCGGTCTTACCGTCGTCGGACTTTACGGGCGGGACGTGCGCGCGGCGCATAAGAACGGGGCTGCGCAGAATGCGAAGTGGGTGTATGCGCTCGTTACTGGGGTTTTGGGGGCGGGGTCTGGACTGGTGTATCTTGGGTATGGGGTTGTTATGATGAAGCTGGGGAAGTTGGGGAGGGAGAGGATGGTGATGGGTTCATTGGGTAGGCTGGGGTGGGGGTTCGTGTTGGTGGTTTTGTGGTTAGTGGTTTTTGGGGTGTTTGGGGGGTTGTATATTGGAGTCTATGGGGAGGGGTCGGAGAAAGAGGTGGAGAAGACAAAGAGGATGAGGCATGCTGTTTGGGTGGATTTGGTGAATTTGGTGTTTTGGGTTGCGGGGATGGTTATTGAGGGACTGAGGTGGTGGAAATTACGTGGTGGACGGGGGGCTGTTGGTGATCTGGAGACTAGGGAGAAGGAGGTCGCCCCTGCTTAATGATGGGGTCTTTTTCTTCTTTTTCTTGTGTTCTATGTGCGGTGGGAGAAGTTGGGGTGAGCTGGTCTCATGGGGTGTGTGGTTTGTATAGATGAGATTGTTGGGTGCGAAAGTGATTATTGCCGTGTATTCTACTTGATCTTGGTCTTCGTTAATACATATATCATGGACCCTGAATCTCTTATTAGCCCCAATCTACGTCTTGTTCCTCAAAATATCTGGTACACAGTGTCCTCGTCCAAGGTGACAACTGCTATCCAGGTGTCCGCATTACGTCACTGCTGTTCGTCACTGCCCACTGGGTTACTTTCTGTCGGTTGGTTTTTTCGATGCTCTTCAATGAGCAGACTAAGCTGACTGCGTCCGCGCGTCAATGAGAATGGTGTTAATAGAGTTGGGAAGCCTCCAAATGTCGCGCGACCAAGGCTGTTAGTAGAGAAGGTTGTAGAGCTATCAGTGTTTGGTGTCGGGATTGCAATGCCGGAGCTCGTTGCGGGGGTATCTACAGGCGAGTCCGGCTGGGTATGAGATGCATCACTGGTCTTAAGTTCGAAAGATCTAGACTGAAGAAACTGCAGTAGGCCGTCTTTCGAGCTCGCTCCCACGGACTTGGCCAAGTATTCTTTCTCCAAGCCAACTTGCTCCGTGAAGCGGGAACGAAAGCCCTTATCAACCAGTGACTCTGATGACGGTTGTTCATAGTTCGCCGCAGATAGATATCTTACATCGTAGTGGGTCCAATCGTCCGTGGTAACAAAGCCCCATTTAGGGGGAGTCGATTTGGTATTCTGTGGGGCTGGTTCTTTATTGGTGAGGATTTCTTTTAGGTTGAGTAGAAACTCGGGTGGCAGCTCGGGTGGCTTGTCGGTCGTATCACTACTTTTCTCATGAGGTACGACATCTATAATAGAGATGTTAGAAGTTGAAGGGGATCTTCTCGAGAGGATAATTTCTTAGCTCCCGGAAACGGTGACTTACGCTCTATGTGCACTGTCTCAGCTTCAGAATCACTAGAATCTTCTTGCTTGGATGGTGTTGTCCGGGCTCCCAGGGTTAGTAGTTTTGCAGTCCGGTGTGGGCTTTGGGTACGAGTACTTGCACCGGAAGACGTTTGTGATGATTTGCGTCGCATGATCACCGGCCGACGCTTGGTGTTCTTCCCTTTTACAAAAACGGCCTTGGGCTTTGGAATCAGTCGGTTGGTATCTTCCATCATAGGTTGAGATTGTGGAACGGGAGTTGGGGGGTTGGATGGTTTGCGCGTAATGCTCTGGCCTTCTAGACCGGTAAGGAGCAACCGAGTTGTCTTGTGTGTCTCCCCTGAGGGCGCACTTGATTTTTTCAAGATGGGCTGTAGAGGCGCTCTCCTGGCTCTATTACCCGGCGTCTCTTGTGGTTTATCGTCGCTTCCTTTTTCCTGGAGGACGGAAGTTAGCCCCTTGTCTATATCATGGGAATGTTGACTTAATGTCGTAGGCATACGCCTGCTCACTTTTTTCAACTGCTGGAGTGCAAAGATTGATATAGGATTAGACTCGGATATTTGTTGAAACAGTTTGGCCAGCGTGGACCCGTCTAGCGAACCGCAAAGCCGGTCGCTACTCCAAATCCTCCAGAAGAAGTTCTCCAGTCTGTATCCAATGTCGCCTTCATGGACCGAAGGGTGAGTGTTGTATACTGAAACATCTGAGTCAGCTTATCGCTACATCGGAGGAAATGGGCTACCTTTCCACAGTCGCCTAACATCGCTGGTATCCACGACATTCCTGTCGTCCAGCTCCGACGGCACTTTCCTCGTTGTCGACACCAAGCCCTTCGGAAGAGATTCCATTTTGAGCGCAGGGTGGTGGTAAACTTGGTGAGAGGTAAGTGTGGAGCAAGTGAGGTGTATCGCAGAAACTACATGATCAGAAGGAGAGGTTATGACTGCATTTTTGGGAGATGGTTGTCCAAGGTGAGATGGCGGTAACAGAAATGCATTCACAGATAGAAGCCTAGCGGTGAATTGAGGGGTGTGAAAAAAAAAAAAAAAAAAGAGCACAACCAACGCAGGGGGAAGCGAGCGATACAACCAATAGTAAACTTCGTCAGTAACTAGTACTAGAGAGGAGAGTAAGAATGAGAGGTAGAATATCCTCTCGTATTGGGAAAAGCCGTTGACCAGTCCGGGGATCCCACTGCAAGGGCACGTTGTTAAAGGCCGAGTAAAACCCAGAAGATCCTCGCAGCGTAATGAAGCAATCAAGCCTCCCTTGCCAAGCTATCCACTCGACAGGCAAGATATTCACACCGTTCTTCAGCCGCAATTGAAGTCTGCAGATGCAGCAGCTTCGGGGAAGGCGAAACGAAGACGAAAGTAGGCAGAACAAGCGACGATCTCGCTCTTTGTTGGCCTTAGCCGTTGTTGGGTCTTACCATTTGCTGTATTTCGAGTGAGAGGATGGCCAAAGTGGATAATGGGTAAAATTAAAAGGAGTTGAATAAAGGGAGGAAAAGGAAAGAGAAAGTTGCTGCCCTACAATCGGGGCCACCATTGGAGAGCTGCCGTTTCCACGAGCTCCTACTGGTCCAAGAGGAGATTAAAGAGCGAACGGTGAACAAAGGGCGGTCCACATGGAGGAGGGAATTCTAGAGAGGTATTTATTTACCAAATTCAGTGAGTGATGATCAGGGCGAGGTATGTACAGTACATGGGGAATAAGTAGTCGTAGACTAAACACTTCTGGACCACATTTTAGTAGTTTTTGTCTACATCGGGTAAGGTCCTGGAGACTATTAGGTCATGATTGTGAGATGTAGTGAAATGTCAATACGACAATTGGTTTATTCTTTGCCACCTACACTACTACTAGTAGTATTTAGTTGACACTACCATTGTTCTTTATTGGGCCCCTCGAATTCTAGACATAATAATTCAGGCCCCCTTTCACGAAATGGGGCCGAACTAAGGAGAAAAGAACAGCGGATATCCATCAAAGGCTGGGTGTGGGATGGCCTTCCCGTCAAATGACCGGCTCACCGTTCGGTCCCTGGGTGTGATTGGTGATCCACATCTTCTTGAAGGATCATGAAAGACCTTAAGCCACATCTGTCCGAGGGTCTTGTCAGACCTAGATCGGAACGAGTTACATGGATGCCCGTGTATGACTCTTCCTCCGAGTGATTGGTTGACTGGCTGGGGCACAAACGAATATCAGCACCGTGTCCTCTCTCGGGGAATATCGTTTGGCCTTGCATTGTCCCATCTCTACCCTGGTCTCAACCAAAACATATCGGGAAAATAAAAACCTTCCTTTGTGATATGGGATGCACTAACACCCTGGAAATGCTGAACAAGCCGAAGGGGATAGGTCATATTCAGTCACGGGGCCCTTATCACCTGATGCTGCAGCCTGGTCACTAGGCCTGCCGCATTCCATGTTTCGCCTTACTCCAAATCCATCTGGATATACATACGAATTACCGTGACTATGACCCTCTCCACTCCTTGCTGGGCAATTCATCGGAGAGCAGACAGCCGCGATCGTCGCTCTGATAGGCCAACATCAATCCCAGAGTCCAGACCTCAAAACTCCAGAGCCACGGTTCCATGGGAATGGTGCAGCTATAATAAACACCTATCCTACGTCACTACATTGAATTCTGGAGCTACAAAATTCCAGCATTTCCGACTAGCCTAACTACCTGGAAGCCTTGTTTCTCGTGCGCAGAGCTAATCTGACCCTTTGGCCCAACGGATGTCGTCCTACGTATCGCCCTCGATTAAGGGGAAGGAAATCGACAGGCATGCCCTTGAGTCTGGAATCTGATGGTTTCGATGGTCGTGACGTCTAGGTTTTTGGGCGATATTAGGCTGGTCTATTAGCCGACCCCCAGCCTTACGGATCACATATTACAAATGACCTCTCTCCACCAATTCTATATTTTGTCACTCCACCTCCCTTCCTAACTCTACTTGCCTTCTGAAGCTCTATCCAAACCAGAACCAAACAAAACATCAGGAGATAAAACAAGGTAACATGATGTAAGACAAAAAAAAAAGTCAAATGAGCAATTAGAGTTCGAAAACAATTATACAAAAATGCTATGTGATTATTCTACGTTGCAATGCTCTGGCTTAGTACGGGTGCTTTATTTTTTATCTAAAAATTCATAAACAAACCAATTACACAACCAACAGGCGAGATGGCCGAGCGGTCCAAGGCGGTTAGTACCACTATCCATAAAATATCTCAACGAACGTTCACTAATAATCTCTCAGCTGGAGTAAGGTTCCAGTCTCGAAAGGGGCGTGGGTTCAAATCCCACTCTCGTCAACATCTTTTTTTCTCCTGTCTTTTTTGGTTCCTTTCTTTCTTTTCTCTTTTTCATTTACTTCTTTCTCTCCGTCTCCCACAATATGGCTCTTGGTTCACTAAGGTTATTATGCATTGACATACCCCCTATCCAGTAGGGCAATGGCACGTCCAAATCTATATATTCCATATCTAATCATCTACGTTGCCTTGACCTTACACGTACATAGACCGTACTGCTGGGCGGAATCCTCTGGCATTGCTGTGAAAGGCAATACATGGCCACAAGGAAGCCTACATAAGGCTAAAGCACCGATAAATGTCTGTCAACATGGGAAAATCGATTTGTACAATGATGGATCTAGAATACTCATATTTTGGGTGCTGGGTGCGCATGCATCCATGGAAATGCACCGGCACCCACCGTAATCACCTCCATGGTAGTTATAATAATGGCGATGACTTGCAAAGTCACATCATGGTATGTACATATCTATATACATGATATGCTGGTATAACGCAAAGCTTTTGTCTGTACTCCGTGAGAAGTTTTTGTAGAGAGGTGTATCCCAAATAGGGAACCCTTGAACCTTCGCGATAGCTTTCAATCACAGGTAATTTTCCTTCCGCCATCCTGGATAGAGTCCAGGACAATATGTGCCTTCAAAGTGTTATGTACCCAAACGCCCATGTCTATGTTCTCAGGCGCACCTTCTACCCGTGATGCGTCAAGATTACCGAATCTCATGGGACTGGGATAGTGCAGAAAGCTGGGCTCTTGTCAGGATAGAGCTTTCCACTATCCAGATGTATGTGCGGCGTCGCATTCGTACTTGGCTCGACCACAACATCACGATTGAACGGGGAGGTAGTGCTGAGTAGGCTGAGGTGATCCACACGGGGACCCTTGCATGAGTTGAGGGACACGTGGTAGAAACAAAGTTATCGATGTCGCTTTGATCTTATGTTATTGGTCGACCCGCCTGCCATAAGTAGCGTCCTATATACTGGATATCAAGATATTTGCTGATCTTTCAGCCCGGACGAATCAATGTCAGGTATTTCTCAAGACTTTCTCCAAGAACATTGATAAACGGCCACTGCGTGTTCTTTCGGAACAGGCGGGACCAGAGTCTGATGACTGCAAGTCCAAGGCCGACAGGGTCCAAGCTAGGGACAGTTTCCCAGTCTTCCAAGTCCATCGAGGAATATGCTTCTTCGACAATACAACGTGTCCAGTTCAATATTCGACTCTCATTATCTAGGTGATTTGAAATTAGCTAACCCGCACTGTTCATTGTGATGATCAATCCATGTGTACATACCACTTAAATTCTGATCACTCCCTGTCTCCGCTAAAGTGAGAAGCCACTTGCTGAGGAGGACAGCACATTCTAAACTGGCAATTGAGTGGCGGACGCTCCAAAAGAACGCTTGACTGCGCGCAACATGATCGATTCCTAGCCGCACAGGGATACTTAAGGCATGCGCCGAATATATAAGCGCAGGAGTCAGTCGATAGCTTCTGCCAGGCCTAGGTGATCTGTGCAACGCAGAGGCTATGCGGTATGGGTCCCTAGTCTCGAGTTGACGGTATGGCCCCAGATTGAGGGAAAGGCGAACGTAGGCTAATCCCAACAGTGAACTCGAAGTAAAGGGAATGGGACCATTATCATTGTGAGGATCAAGACTCGATTCCGGGGCTTGTTGCCAAACTGAAGTCCAGGACCGGAGAGCTCTCCTAGTGAAGAACGTCAATGGCTTACTAAAAGACACAAGATAGGAGTAACTCACTCGAGTTTATTCAGCTCTTCTGTCGGTAGCGCAAGGGCTTGGTCTCCAGTCGGTAAAGAGAGCTCACTCACAAGATGGATGCGCTGAAGAAGACCGTGGAGAAGAATGTAGTTTCCCAGCGGCGCAGGGATTGGATCTAGCAAGACCGTCGTCCGCGATGGCTGTAGTAAGAGCGCTAGAGCGTCTTGAAAGAACAGTTGTTGAGCGCCAGCCTCTTTTTGGGCGAGCTCCCATTCCTGGGCGGTGGTTGCTTTCCACTCCTTCGTGGAACAGGGTAGTCGCAAATGAACCTCACTACTGCGAAGTACCGGGTAGATGTTGTACGCTATACTATGGACATGGACGAAGCAGAAGGAGATGAACCTGGTACGTCGAATGGATTCTTCTTCCGCCCATTCATGCCACTGCATGGGTGAGTGTCTTGGGACAACCGTAATGTTTTCAGTCAAGCCGAATTCACGCAAGCACCGCACCAACAGGCCTTGTAAACTAAATGCTTCTTGAACGAGTTCGGACTTCTCCCATGTGGCGTATCCCATTAAGGTGAGCAGAGTCCGAATGGTTTCGATTTGTCTCCACGCACTCATTCCGAGATCATTTTCCGAAGGAGATAGTGCTGTAGCTTGACCTGTCTGTTGGGATAGTTCACGGATGCTATCTAACGGTATTTGGATGATACCATTGTATGCTGCCAGTGGAGTGTGTGTTTCCTTAGACAGTTTATGCAACACGATCGCTTTGGAAGCATAGAAAAGCCGTTCTGCGTTACGGTGCTCAAACCGATACTGGGCACCTATTGTCATCAAGGCTAAAACAAGCTCGGGGGCGCGCTCATTGATTCGCAGTGTTGGAAGATGTAGATATGGCAGATGAGGGTGGAATCCATCAAAAAAAGATGTCAGATATCTTGTTAACGTGTGCCGCGAGGGGAGGACGAAGTCGGGAATAAGGTGGCGATGCTCTTCTAGGGAAGCCGCAAGACGTAGCCGTTGTTCTTCACTAACCCTCGGTGGAATGACCTTCATAGAATGTTGAGGAGGCTCTGGAAAAGGTTAGCAACCCTGATCTCGATGGAACTCGGTAGTCAGTCAGGGATCCACTGCTCACCATAGTCGGAAACCGTGCCTAAGCTTTGATCCCCTGAAGGTACCGAGGGCAGCCAGGATCGGAAGGGCGAATCAGCGCGCGAGCGCTCCGCCTGGCTCCGACGAGAGGTACCTTGTTGCGGCTCTCTGGGGTTCCTGACCGGGTCAGGCACGTCCGCAGGAACTGTACTCTGAACCTGAGGCACTTCCCTCAGGGCGGGAACCCATTCCGAAGGCAATCCAATGGAGTCCAAAAAATGGGTGAATTCTTGGAAATGATTAAGCTCTTCAGGAAGATACGGCAATGGCTGGGCTAGAGAGGGGTCAGCCTTATGGCTATCCGAGCACCATGGTGGATAATACTTACGAGGGGGTTGTGTGTCCCGAAAGCTACCGGGAAGCAATAGTTGAGCAGCCTGTAAGATGTCCGCATCATGAGTTACTGCAGGATGTGGGCCTAAGCCTGTACTCTGACCACCTGCATTAAGCATGCTCTGGTTCTGTTCCAGGTACGGTCCGTGCTGCGGCCCGGACCACTGCTCCATGGGAGGTGGTACGAGAGGGATATCCGGGCGTGGTGCGGGTTGTACATTGTATGGTTGGGTCACCGGGGAATCTGATGTACGCCGCGCAAGCGACTGACCTGCAGCTTCTTGCTGGGGCTGTGAGGTCGGCGATATCAAGCCATTATTCTCATGGGTGATGCGCGTGTGGCGCTTTAGTAGATCCCGTCGGGTAAATGCAGCCCCGCAGAAACAGACATACGGCTTTTCCTTTGTATCTGCGCGAAATCCTTAACAATGGCCCTTTTTTTTTTTTTTTTTTTGCGGACAATGCGATATCCGGCATAATTTATTACTTAATTTTCTTATGAGGACGGGATCCAACTTACGAGTGCGTACGTGCCGTTCCAGATGTTCCGTTCTCCTGAATGTCCGCCCGCAATGGTCGCAGACACGAGCTTTTGCTCCAACGCTCGAGCGACGATTGCCACGAGGTTGAGGTGAGGACGATTGTGACAACATCAAGACATTTGGGGGAGTAACACACAGACGATTCGGATAGGTATAGCTCCCCACTTGGAGACAATTGCATGCAAGGGGGGTTCGGGGGTGGGTTGGCGGACTTTTGACTTGGAGGAGGTTGAATGGAGTTTGAGGGAAAGAAACAAGAGAGAAAGATTGACTCCAACGCTAGCGCCACTTCGGGAACCCCACCGCGACTTTTTGACTCCAACAACATAACACAACCCGATCGGCTTGGTTGCGAACTCTTTGTTTATTTTGATACTACTGTGTATGAGTAGTAGTACAATAGTATCTATTTTTATTTTTTTTTACATTTTTGGCAGGAAGATCCCACAGCTGAGCTTGAGACAAGCTCTACGCGGATTCATGGCGCGAGCTTATACATTTCCCGGTGTGGCCGTCATCACCGGAGCGGGTGGGACTGGTGCGATGAGATATCGCAAAGCTCCTATGGTTTGTATTGCTAACATGCCAACCAGGTATCGGAGCAGCAGTTGCAAGAAGTTTTGCCTCGGCGGGCTGTGACAGAATCGCAATCACAGACCTTAACCCAGCATCGTTAGATGAAACCAAACAAGCAATTCTTAGCTCCTACCCCCAAGTCCACTTCGTTTCCCGAGCGGGTAATATCGCAGATGAACAATTCGTGGACTCGTTCATTGCCGAGGTAGCCCATACCTTTGGACGGTTGGACTACGCAGTGAACTGCGCTGGAATCTTCGGAGATGCTTTGCGATCGACAGAGATGTCGACGGAGAACTTTGACCAAATAAATAATGTCAACTATCGAGGATGTTGGCTATCTTCAAGGGCAGAACTAAGACAGATGATCAAGCAGGAGCCGCTACCGAGTCATGATCCTAGTCGCTCTCCTCAGAGGGGGGCTGTGGTCAATATTGCAAGCCAGCTAGGCATGGTTGGCCGCCCTAAGGCTCGTGAGTGAATGCCCTATTTTCTCTCTCTGCTGCTCTCTCGCTGCGTAATAGTTTCACTAACGTCTACAGCTGCCTACTGTAGCTCCAAAGCCGCCATAATCGCCATGACACGGTCTGATGCTATAGATTATTCGAAAGATGACATCAGAGTGAATTGTGTCTGCCCCGGTATAATCGAGACACCGATGACAACACACAGCGAGGAAGTTCGCGAAAGGCTGAGGCCCGCCGTGGATATTGCCCCCATGAGAAGAATGGGGCAGCCAGACGAAGTTGCGGATACGGTATTGTTCCTCTGTTCCACTTTCGCATCTTTTGTTCAGGGCCATGCCTTGGTTGTGGACGGGGGGTATGTACTCAATTAATGCAAGACTGATGAAGTAAAATTGGTATGTACGAGAAAAGTTCATGCAAAGCGCGGCAATATCAAAGTAATCAAATTGGTTATCGTTTTATTATTAGTGATAGGTGAATAGGGTTCTGAAATGCCGGGCTGATGATTCTGTAACTGTACACCCACCAGCCATTGATCCCAGAGCATCTCATAGTATTATCGTGATCAGCGCGATTAGCATAAGTGTTGAAAAGAAACCAATTCAAATAAATGTCATTATCTTGTATCGTGATGTGATCTCATCGAGTGTCTCCAACTGCCAAGGCCCATATTTATTGTATGTGTTGGGGTAAACATGCATCGACTCCAACCTAACAATGATTCTACCATACAGGTTTGACGGAGATTTTCTTTTCTTTTCCATTTGTATTTGTATTATTGTTATTATTTTTACTATTATTATCATTTTTTATCTTCAGCTTAATTTTTATTTTTCTTTTATTTTTTTTTTTTTTATATTTTTTTTTTAAAATTTCTCGGCGATTAATCTAGAAGCATAAAGTGAGAGTCGTAGTATACATGTGGAGTAAATCTCTTGATAAGGCTTGGAGTATGTATACCAAGTTATCTATTAATTTGCTGCTGTTAGTTTACATTGATCGTGCTTTCTAGACCTTGTGTCAAGTCCTGCCGCTTTTATGGGAGTTCTTGTGTGACTAAATTCCGAGTGATCAGGAAACGCCCTTGGATGCTCCGCGACATGCACCTCAGAGTTTCAGACCAGAGCACTCTACAGTACTAATAGTATGTACCTAGTAAACTACATCCAGAAATTCCCAGAGTTGTGGAAGAAACGGTGTCTGTCAGTGGACCTCTCCGAACTTTATTTGAAATTGATTGACCTGACAGCTCCAAGTGACAAATACTGAATCTATCATTCAACATATTCCAACAGATCACCCAAAAACCGAGCCACATCGTACCAAGTCATCCACCATTTGCCATTGAGATAACACGCAAGCTCAGACTCCCATCCTCGAGCTCTCTCCAGAAGTGAAGCCGATTTATCTACCCATATCGCTCGGCCCTCCTTTTCCGCCAAACCAGTATAATACCTGCTATCGTGACCCCAAAGCTTGAAATCAAGTTCATACCGAGAAGTGAATTTTCTCACCTCTTCCTTACTGTCTTCCAGCGAATAGTCATCAAGGACAAAAACAGTCAACGCTTTCAAGTCGGAGATAAAAGGCTCCCTCCTTGGAGAGGACAAAATTCGATCAACAGTAGACGCTGTCGTATGCCCAATCTTGCACTTGCCAGTGCATTTCTGGGTTCCCATGCGCTCCTCTAGGGCTCCTTTTTCTTGTGTGCATTTATCTTCCGCTTCCCGTCTATCCTTTTCGCATTGGTTGGCAGCTGATCTCTTCTCAGCCTCGCACTGTTGAATTTTATCATTGCACTTGGCGGTTTCTGTAGTCTGATCCTTCTGACACTGGTCTAGCTGGCTCTCTAACACTGTCTTTTTGGATTCACACTGCATGGCCTTCTCAAGGGAGTTCTTGTTGTCCTGCAACAGTGTATCTTTGCTATACTGGCACTCATCCAGGCTCTTCTCGCTTCGCAATTTCTCCGACTCGCACCTGGTGATCTTTTCACCACAGGCCCCATTCTCCTCCTGGCATTTCGCTTCTCTCTCTTTGCATTCTTTGGTGACAGAATCGATTTGTCCCTGGCAATCGTCCGACAGTTTGTCGGATTTCTCATTCTTCTCGAAAAAGAGCCATCCGTCACCAATAATGGTATCATAGGATTCCACAGTAACCTTAGCACAAAGCTTGCTCGAAGCTCTCCATACACTGGCCTTGCATTGGGGGTCTGTAGCACAATTCTCGGCACATGCTTGTGCCGTTTTGAATCCCCTTTGGCCTGGTTCATACGTGCTGGGGTACTTGTTGCACATGTAGTCAAATTCATATCCAGCGACAACTCCCGTCCCGCTAGACGGGCCGGAGCAGCATTTCTGGAGATTCTCCTTTGGGGTTTCGCTGTTCGCAGAGAAACATTGGTTGGCCAGCACGTTGCTGCTGGCTAGGAGTGTTAGATATATAAGATTCGGTTTTAAAGGCATGATGAATCGAGCTGCTAGAAGGTGACTGTGTTTGTCGGGGCTTTGCCATGAAAGACTTCAGGAAATAAATAGTAAACTTATATGCCTGATGAGCTGGAGAACTCTAGAAGCGGGATACTAATCCCGTACTGTGGGCCAGCTGGGGTTCTTTTTTACAGCTGGGTCCATATATGGATGGTAATCGCACAAGCAGAGTTTTTCCACCTGCAACAGCGATGTATTTGTAAAACCATTACAGCTGCGTCAGAAATCCTAACCTAAATCTCAACGATGACAGTTTTCCCGAGTTACATATGGATAAATGTACATGGCGCTCTTAGTGGGTCGCGAAGAAAGACTCTAAAGGACCTTTACAGATGTATGTATTTCCGCTAGTAATTACTAGGTGACCTTGACTATACCTGGAGATGAACTGGCGTTAGTTCCAGGGATCTGCATAGCTGAGCTTCCAAACTTCAAAGACCCGAACTTTCTGCTCCACCGGCACGCTACTAGATCGTCTACTAGATCGTCTAGTATCTGCTCTCCGGACTACTCCACAGATAGATGGCTGGCTGAGCCTGATACTCAAATATATTATGCTTGCAGCTGTTCTACCATATTGAGTAATATCTACGTAGTATGTCTATAGGATTGATGGACTGAGCTCGGTTAAGTAGTAAATCGTGTACCCGAATCCAAGGTGCCATGGATCCTCTCATGAAATAACATTAATCCCGCTAACTTTAATGAATACTACACCTGCTTGTTACTAGTTCTATTTATATCTCAGTACTTCATACTACCTACCGATAGAGTAGCGTGCTTCGCGACTCTTTTACTAGGGGATAGCAACCAACTCAGTCGGCAATTTCATTCGGGAAGTGGATCGGCAAACACTGAGACTACGGGGTATGTATGACAGGCTGACTGTGTACAGGCTGAATTGTGGGGCAAGCTAACTGACGGATCTAGTAGGAGATCAGATCTAGGGTGTCTGTATCATTTGCCACGGCTGCAGGCGGGCTTTTGTTACCTGTCCCAGGTATAGAGCTGAACCATGCCATAGGATCAACAGATCAACCGTGTGAATCGCGGTGAGTTCGGACTCTACTTGACTTGCTCAGTGGAGTATCTGGGCAGATTAGGCCTTGTAATGGACTTTCCCTCATTCAGCTGCACAGAATTCGTTGAATCTCGGGCATCGGTGCGACTGTGCCCCATAATACAGTGGGAGCTGGGGTGTGGTGGATGATTCGACGGAATATATAAGATTTTACTTCCATCCCTTCTCGCCTTTCGTTCAACTTCCCCGTTCACTTGAATGTGTGTTGTTCCTTCAATATGCACTTAACGGCAGCACTTACCCTTTTCTTTGCTGCCGCTCAGGCAAGCCCTCCCATCCAGCAGGTCATCGGAACCAGTGGGAGATCCCTGCACCGATGGTCACTGGATGATATCGTTACCTCTTACTTTGGAGACGCCTCCAAGTGTTGTCCTAAGGGAACTCAATTCGACGGCGAGAGATGTGTTCTCGACGGTCCCAAGTGCGACAATGGCAAGCTCGTCGATGGGAAGTGTGTAACCGACCCCATTTGCCCTGTCGGCCAATGGAATGGCCAGTTCTGTGTCTCGACAGAGGGCCGCATTTGCCCTGACGGCCTGAAGCCCAGTGGGAATGTTTGTGTCTATGAGTCCGGTCCTACATGTAGGGATGGCTCAAAACCAGACGGTGATGTTTGTGTCTCCAAGGGCACCCCGAAGTGTGACAATCCCGGCGACGAGTTCAAGGGCGGAGTCTGTGTCAGTACCAAGAAGCCAGTCTGCAAGGATGGATCGCAGCCCAGTGGCGGACTGTGCGTCAGTGAGAAGCCTCCAGTCTGTGGCGCTGATTCCGAGTGGGCCCCCGAGCTCAAGAAGTGCGTTTCTGGAACGCCTCCTACCTGCAAGACTGGCAAGTTCGACAACGGCTTTTGTGTTTCTGACTCAGATCCAGTATGTATCGATGATGAAAGCAAGTTCAACCGGAAGACTGGCTTCTGTCACTCAGATATTACGCCCGGCTGTGGAGACGACGCTGAGCTCCAGGATGGAAAATGCGTTGGCAACATTAAGCCGACTTGCAAGGATGGATACACTTACAGTTACGATTTGGCGTCTCAAACTGGCCAATGCTGCTCGTCTGGTATGAACTGGGATGGGGAAGCTTGCTATTCCATTCCCAGCCTGGACGGGTGCCCCTCCGACACCACCCAGGGCAAGGACCGCTGTACGAAGCCATCTGATGGCCTTGCCTATTGTCCACCCGAATTTAGAGAGAGCAAGGGCCAATGTATCGGCAGAGGTCCTTTCTGCCCTCCCATGCTCAACTATGAGCCCAGTCTCAATGCCTGCGTCGAGGATGAGACTCCCGAATGTTTGGAACCCGGCAGCAAGCTCGAGAACGGCAGGTGTATTTTGGAGCTCACCCCTGAATGTCCCAAGGGCTCTCGCCAGGAGGGCAGCTACTGTATTGCGATAATCAAACCCTACTGTGAGGGTGAAAACGAAGGGAAAGCCCACTTTGACGGTACCAAGTGTGTTTCCAATGAGACCCCTGAGTGTGAGGATCCGAGCGCCAACTTTGACGGTGAGGAGTGTCTTACTGGTCGTAAGCCGGTCTGCGACGAGGCCAATGGATTCTTCCTCCAAGGTGGCCGCTGCGTGTCGACAAAGACCCCCGAATGTCCTGACGGTGGCAAGCTCACTGCTAAGGGCGAGTGTGTTTCCAAGAGAAAGCCCAAGTGTAAGACTGGCGACCTCATTGGCAAGGATTGTGTGGTTGGTCATGTCAATTGTCCCAAAGGAACCTGGGATGGCGAGAGCTGTGTCGTTGAAGAAGAACCCAGGTGTCCTCCCAATCATAAATGGATCCCCTGCAAGAACAAGTGCGTCTCCTTTGAAAAGACTCAATGTGAAAAGGGCTATTACCCGAAGAACGGAGAATGTGTCTCCAAGCACGACCAGATTCGTTGCGACGATGGCGCGGAGTGGGACCCCAAGACCCAGACCTGCCTTGGAACTAAGCCCGAGTGTGAAGACGGTAGTGTCCCGGAGGGAGGCGAGTGTGTCTCTCAGGAGATCCCCAGGTGCCCAGATCCCGAGCGATTCGAATTCAACGGTAAGAAGTGTGTGCTCAAGAAGGGCCCTGACTGCGCTCCAGGTTTCAGACTGCTCAAGGGCGAGTGTGTTTCAGAAATAGGCCCTGTCTGTGGCTACGGCCAGGTTCCAAAGGATGGCCGCTGTGTTTTAGTCTCGGGTGACTGCATGGAGTTTGAGTTCTGCCCTACTTACAAGCCTCTGCGGTAATGTCGGAAGTCGACGTTTGTATGTATATATATGTGTAGTAGATACGAATGCAGAACCATTCGACTACTTTTACGCTATTGTCTCAAGGCGTGCTTCAAGAAAATAGAGGCCATAACTCTAGTTCCATATACGTAGCCATTTGTTAGTGGTGAGCAGATATTCCTGCAGTAATGGCACACCAAGGAACCCTAGTTTTAATACGACGGTATACACTCCCAAGTTCCCTAGATATATTAATAAGTTGGCGTTAAAATTTCACATATTTATGCACTGCTATTTACTAACTCTAACCAACCAACCACTCGACATCGTCGCCAATTTGGAACTCTAGGTCCTCAGTCTAGTGACGATAGAAGTCCTCATCTCCTCCCGCTTGATCATGGGACAGTATTGAGTGAGGTATAAAAATCAAACTCGAAAAAAGAATGTGCCTCCAACGAGAATCGAACTCGTGCTTGCGGATTGCAGTTCCTTTAGATAGGAACTGTCATATTGCTATGAGACCGCCGTCCTAACCACTAGACTATGGAGACTTGCTTGTTATTCTGCTCTTTTTTTGGCCTTATATCCCTTGTTTAGTACCTGTTCAAATCTCCAAAGCTCGGCAATATTAGACAGCCTATGCGATTCCCGTACTCTTACTTGGTTAATAAATTTTCGACGGAAGGAAACTGGGGCCTCTCTGATTATAGTTCTTTTCTTGTTACCGCCTTTCTTAATTCCCCGTATTATCTAAGTCTATGGCTTGTAGCAGGGTTAGTCCCTTGCTTTGATTTGTCTCCCTTCCAGGGTGGACGAGGTTGCCTCGGTTGAGAGTTACTAGTTTTTTGGGTAAAGAGTGGTTCAGGTACCCGAGATCATCATAGCGTATTTTCATTAAATGACATCATAAATTTGCTAACTGCAGAGCATGGTACATATTCGTAAACATGGAATTCAACGTCCCCACTGATCCGCCATAGAAACCCACTTCTCAAAGCAGTGTTCTTAGAGTAAAGAAAAAGTCGAATTCAACACTTCACATAGAAACTCTTGATCTGGGTCTCACTTCCTCCCCATCTCGGCACCCGACAGGTCGGCCTTATACCCTTCCCAAAGACGCTGACCGTCTGGTTACCAGAACAGTGGTTATCGTTGAAGAGATACACCCTGCAATGGGAATCAGTGATTTTGTCTGGGATGTAGGACAACGCTCCGCCGTTAAGAATCGCGTCGCGACACGATGTGCTTCTGCTTCCGGAGAAGAGTGTTATTTCTCCCGTGCAGTGGTCATTTTGGTATACGGAAAACTCCCAGGTTGCGTTTGGGATGGCGTGATGCTGGTGTTGAATGGAGGGGAGGGCGTACACTGTGCCGAGGAGGAGGACAGGGGCGCTGAAGAGAATTCGCATAATGTTAATCGTGTGTATAGATGAATGTTCTTCGCTTTCTCGGTGGTTCAACTGCCGCAAGCCGGTTGGGGAATGAAATCGGATTCGTTCATCTAAAGATACTGATATCAGGTAAGCGCCGCAGCCTGCAGTAGTCGGTACGAAGCAGATCACAACAGATCTGAACAAAAACAAAAAAGTCTTTGACTGGTTTAGAAAGTTTGCTTTGGATTTCACTATTTAATATTCTCTGTGGAGACCTCAAATCGGCAAGGGGCACATAAGGCCTCCAAATATAGTCCACTTACCCAAAACTCATTACCCAGTCTGCATATGCTAGGCTTTCAACGGTGGATTCCATGGGTCACAATTTCCCTCTAGTGGCGTCTAGGAAAAGGTGCATATGCACTATCCCTTTGGCCTCATTTCCTGTATTGAGTGGCGAGTGTAGATCATTGCGTGTGTTCTCAATTCTCGATGAAGTTCATATATCCGCCTGGAGAAAGTCGAAGGTTGGGTCGTATGTTGGTTCCTCTATCCCCGGTCCTAGACCAAGTACCCCAGCCGAACCGAGGCTGTGGTAATCGAGGACTTCGGAGTATCTGCAGATTCTCAGTTAATTGCACACTTTGCGGAACTAATGACAACACACATCATAAGTTTCCATGTCTCTGAAGGAAGATCGGCGTCATTGAACGACCAGTCGAATTTTTCTAGAGCTGCAGGCTCGTCGTCGGGATCATGGTAAGGAGCGAGATAGGGGTGTTGCAAAGCGGTCTCAGCTGTTAGTCTCTTGTCTGGATCAAACAAGAGCAGCTGTTCGAGGAGGCTGATGACTGTCATAACAAATGAGTCACCTTAAACGTGTGTTTATTCAAGTTAAAGGGTTATTACCATTGTTGTCGAATTCGTGGAACAAAGCCTTCAGTGGACGTGGTTCCTGTTTTGGTAGTGAATTGACAACCCGCTGAGTCTAGAAGGCCCTTAGTGTAAGCGTCTAATGTGGTCTCTTGTAAGATAGGAGTGAGAACACTCACATTTCCACTAGTTATTTTCTGAACCACCTCTGCAGGTGGGTTTCCTAGCACTTCTGTGATCAGGAAGAACTGGTGAATGTGGTCCTTCCCTGGGAATAGTGGCCTCCCTCGAAGCATTTCGGCGAGAATACAGCCCGCACTCCAGATATCCACCATCTTACCGTATCTCTGCCATGTCAACATGATCTCTGGTGCTCGATAGTACCTCGTCGAGACATAACCGGTCATCTGAGGTTCTTGTACTCGAGCCAGACCGAAATCGCAAATCTTTAAATCACAGTTCTCATTGATCAGGAGATTGCTTGGTTTCAGATCACGGTGTATGACGCCGGCAGAGTGGATATATTTTAGTCCGCGCTGTAGAAGGTTAGGATTTCTCTACTAGATCATCACCTATACGAGAAGCAATACCAGTATCTGGTACATGAAGTATTGAGCAAACTTATTGTCGAGGGGCCTTGCCCTTAAAAGTCGGCTGAGATCAGTGCCCAGGAGTTCCGTTACCAGGTATCTAGCAAAGCCTGGCATCAGTACGCTGTGAGAGCTTGGCTCCAAGGTAAAAGCTATCTATATGTAGAATTCTGCCATACGTACATGTCCTCTAGTGGAGAGATAAAGATATCGCACAGGCCAATAAGCTGCCTCAAGTTAGCGTTGCAGGCGTATCTGCGGGTGAGCACGACTGAGGGGTCCAAACATTCTCATGGCGCAGCTGTTTCAGAAGTTTGACCTCTCTGTACGTCCGCTTGGCAATGGAAGAGTTGGCAAAGGGGTTCATCATCTTCTTGACGGCGACATGTTGCTGAGTTATTTGGTCATATGCGGAACTGAAGCCCCTTTTGTTAGCCTGCAAAAACCAGAGGCCAAGATCGCTTTGGACCCAATATCCAGGATAGGTGTAGTATATACCACACAAGTCCGAACGCACCCAAACCGACCGGTTGCACATTTGCGTATCTGATGGAATGTTATTTTACATCGTTACGAAGTATCTCACCCATGAAGACCGGTACCTGCTGGTGGTTTCGAACGTAGTCCCCAAGATTTCTGCACGAATAAATTCCATGCTGTCGTCCAGGATCGACGTGGTAGCAGTGACAGGTTTCTAAAAAAAAAAAAAAATGATAAAAGTAAAAAAAGATAAATAAAAAAAGGCCCAGAATAAAAAAGTTGAACAGCAAAGATTGTTTGAAGGCGTCAGCCCTGCCTTTTCCCACAATGACGAGAAATCGATTCAGTCGAGACTTTCGGCTCGTTGAAGCGTGAAATGGGGACCACCGTAAGGCTACCAAATGGGGAATTCCAAAAGCTACCTTGTCCGCCACTTGTTCCTTGTGGGTTGACGGAGTGAGAAGCGCGAAAGGGAGAACTGCCGTTATCCATCCGTAGGCCTCGAGGGCTCATGTCACCCAGGAACTGGCCATCCTGATTGGCGGGATGAGATGCCACCAGCAGGATGCCCCCGAATCAAGGCACGCAGCGGATTTTCGCTGCAACATTTCTCAAGTATCCACTCCCCTTATATCCACACTCGAACCAGGTGAACGGAGCCCCTATATTTGGGTAGCCCATAGTCCTCGTTAACTGCTGGTGTGCTAATGTCCTTCCTGAGAGTTGTGACACATCCCTCCCGCTGCCAGCTCACCATGCAACCCAGGGCCTCATATGCTGTCAACTCAGATTACGCTGAGCTACTATGATCACAGATCGAATATCTAAAAGGAAAAGCATCACCTGAGTCCCACTGAAGTGAAGCCTGCCGCTCAACTAGCCACTGCTCGATTCTTATTGCCACTGGATGCACGGCTTGCATGGCTTACACGACTCCCCAATCACAGCTTGCTGCGAATCTTCCCTCTACGACAACTGACCGAACAGAAGGAGCACTGCTCCCGCTTTATTTCTTCAATCCCACTGACGATTTGATCTCGAGTATGGTTCCGGGGTCCGGAATTATGTTCCGAAGTTTGCCGCACAGCCCTAGGATAATGTTTCCTGGACAGTTCATTAGCGTGAGTTCCATTTGACAGCTATGAGACTTACAGATTGATATCCAAACGCTTTCTCGCCTAATATTACCCTTGCCAAGTTCACCACAACAGTCAGCAACTCGCTTCTCAGTCACCATATATCGAGCATCACAATCGAAACCCGGCTCTACGCTTCATAAGAACCTTACCATGCTCATCTCAACTGTCAGGCACACTCCTTGGTCAGAGGAACCATAAAGGGTGATGGAGCCCACAGCCACCGCCGCCAGAGCGTCCCTACAACAAACCCAGAGAAGTGCCCTTTCCCTTGGCCACACAAACCATATCACATACATGCCAGTTCTCACCACTACCTTTTCTCCAGGGTTCTTTCATTCACTATTGTCCCTACACCCTCAAACGCAACCCAGCATCTCAGCACCCCAGCGCCCGGTTTCCGGATCCACTACGTTGGGGAGGGGGGGGGGGGGGGGAAGCCGTAAAAAAAAACGGCCCAGAACACCACACAAGCCAATACAAGCCATTCCCAACGAGAACAAAGCATTGCATGTGAAAACACTCCCTACGCCACCCAGCTCGCTTCCAAGCGGACTAACGTGAGGTTCCGCAAGCCCTAGATATCCGGTGGTTATTCGGCCATTTCACGGTAGTTACTCGGTAGCCGTCAAGAGTTCGTCTTCGAAACCATTCTTCTAGAGACCCTTCTTGGGGATCTAAAAGAACCCGCTTTTGCTTATGGAGCTTGCCAACTTCTAACACCACCTAGTGTGGTGGCTGTCAAAGCGTCTAGGTAGAAGTTAGCCTTTCTTTTCCCAAGGAGTAAACCGGATACCGAGGTATTGTGCATGCAGAGTGATATTGTGCGTCACCATGGATAAAGATGAGCAATACGTTGCCATTTGTGGAGCTTCATTGATATAGTCCGACACTGTGGCGCATTTTGGTTCTGTTGGGCCAGACCTAGGTGCCAGACCTTTACCATTTTTGAGAACTACAGTGGGACACTACTTGAGCATTGGTGAGTGGTGCGTATCAGACCATTGTGGCAAACGTCATTCTGTTCGTATTTATCATCACGATCCCCATAATGGGAGAAAAAATTGCTCAAGGGGGAAGAGGTAGACGAACACGCATCTACTGGCCCACCCAAATTTCTAGTAACGTTAAGATAGGTGGTAGGCACTAGTGGTAGGGTTACGAAATGCTCAGGTACACTGTGGCAAAGGGATCATCACCGCCTAAACCATCTCCAATCACATGCTCTGGAGGATGTGGCAGAATCTGGGTGGGAAAAGATGTATGGCTAATATCGCCAGCCAATAATTATCGATCTTATCATGAGGATGATGATGGTCCATCCATTGATGGTGGCAATTACCTAAGATGCTCCAAGAGCGGCAGCCTGCGTCTTTGATCGACATGATACAGAAGCCATGTCGTCATATGATGGGATTTACAGGTCTGGCAGCGATATGCGTACTGCAGTTTTTTAGAAGAGCTGACTTAGGCAGAACTTATCGATAGCTACTCGGGAACAAGCCTACCAGAGTGGCCTGGAAACTGTCTCAACCTTAACCACTTAGGAAGTTAAAAAGTGCAACAAGGACACAATCTGTTTCTGGTGTAGAATTCTACGGCATGTAAAGAAAAAACATATATACAGTCTAACAATCATGTAACGACAATTCATTCAGGCGATCATCGATGATACAATACATTATTCACTGCGTTTTCTTCGTCGTCGAAGCAGTAGATGTGGGCGCAGAGTAGAGCCACACGATGACGAAGGCCAGGAAACCGCCGATAACAGACCAGAGGCCAGCGATCCAGACCCATCCTCCGCTGATCTTCCAGCTGCGAGGATACTCGTTGTGGGCATAGTGGCGGACAGTCACTTCGTGCTTCTCCTCGATGTTGGTGAGGAAGGGACGCTTGTAGTTAACACGGAAAGAGAAGATACCGTGTTGGTCAGGAACGATGAACTTAGTGCTGTAGATGGTGCTGTTTTCTGTCTTGCCGGAAGGTTGGAGGTCAAGGCGATGGAAGGGGGACAGCATGGTGAACTCGAGTTGAAGGGCGTCATTCTCGGGGACCTCGAAAGGAAAATACTTGTCGTAGCTGTACTCGGAAACCTCAATGCTGAAGACCTGTGAAGAGGTTTGTCAGCTTATTGCTAGTAATATCTCACAATTGCGTGGCCGTCGTCACATACTGTCTCGTTCTTGATCCGGTAGATTTTAGGGTTCAATTCACCATCCTGGGCCAGATGATGCTCAATCTTGCCAACCTTGAGGACTCCAGTCTCCTTGAAGGTCCAGGCGGTCAGTTGTTTGGCAAACTCACGGTTAGCAGTCTCGGATTCCTTTCCGTCACTAGGAGCTTTGACAGTGGCGGAGAACCACTTGTCCTGGAGACTCTCGACGGAGCCCAGAAGAGTGAAACGGGCAGAATTCCGGGCTTGCATGGCCGAAACAAGAGCCAGCTGGGAACCCGAAGCCGAAACATCCTCAACCGAGCCTGCATCCTCCTTGGGGTTGTAGCTGTAGGCAGTTGCGGGGGCGCGCAGAATGGGAGCAAGAAGTGGGTTAGAGTCGCCCAGAGTGTGAGGGGCGGTCCTTGGGAAAGCCAGAACGCCTTCGCCGTCGAAGAGTGCCTTGGTATCACGTCTCAACTGGCCGGGGCGCTGGAGAAGGAGGACATCATGCTTTTCATCCGCAGAGAGAGTATCATAGTTGAAGTGATCAACGACAACAGAGGACCGGTCGGTAGACAGATGAAGGTCAAGTTCCAACAGGAGCGAGCTGATGGCGCTGGGTGTGGTGGACTTGCCGGAAAGGGCGAGAAGGACGTTGCCGTCTTTGTTCATGAATTCGATGAGGGTCTTGGGGCTCAAAGAAGGTCCAAAGCCTGCATTATGTGTCAATTGACTTGGAGCACGGACCAGATAGTATTCTCAATGGGACAATCTGCGAACCTTTCGACCGAGGAGGAAGGAGGAGGACATGGTCGTAGGCTCTCTCTCCGAGCTGAAACAAGGAAAGCTTGTCGCTCTTAGGCGATTCGAAAGCAAGGTTATATCCCCGAGCTGTAGGAAGTTAGCACCAATTGCTTCCAGCTAACTATTGTGCCTCACCTTCCAGATCTCCCCAGAACGTAGAATAAGAATCCTTCTCAGCCTCATCCTCTAGGACAACCAGTAGACGGCTCCCCGAACTACTCAACGCATGTACAACAGCCAAGAGGCCGAACAGCAGTAAGGAAAGACACCACCGCATCTTACAGAGTTCCGCACAGCGGAGCAATAGAACGACGGCGAAGGATGAGCAGAGGGAATTCGAAATCAAAGCTGGGGTGAACCGGAGTTGTCATGAAGATCGATGAGTATGTAAACGGGCGACGTGTTTGGACCGAATGCCAAGACTTGGTCGCCGCTTTGGAATTGACGGGCGCATTACATTGCCGGACTTTCGTCACTTTCAACCTCCCCTCTCCCCGTCGCACGTCTCAACCACACACACCACCCCCTCCCAATCGCCTTTCCCTGGACCCCGGGAATCGCTCAATTCTACGGTCGACCAATTGCACTCGATAAAGTGCGTTGATCTTTTTTTAACCCGCCGGTACCGTCCGCTCAACCGTCTCGCGACCACTGTTCCTGCGAAAAGTTTCTTTTAACGTCCGACTACTTCCAACCTTTCCCTATCACAATGACTACCCCTCAATTCTGGTCGACGCCTCTCCGCTACCTTCGCTGGGCCTCTCACGAGAAGCCCGCTATCTTCTACTCGCTTGTCGTTGGTGCCATGGGCCCCGTCATGCTCGTGACTCTCCCCCCGATCAGACGGGCCTTCGGCGACGTTGACCCGGAACCCATCCCCCTCACATATCCCAGTAAGTCCATCTCTACATCGTTCCGTGTTGTTTCGTTCTTCTATTTCCGCATCTTCCTAGGCCATGGTTGGCTGACTTGACATAGTTCCCCAGGGACCCCGGGTTATCCCGCAGGGCTACGATGACGAGTAAATCCGCCAGTGACTGTGAATGGAGTCCGTGTCGATTTTCAGATTTGATTTTTGCTTGGTGTATCTAGCTGGGAATTCGAGTCAATTCAAAAGACTACCTACCTACTC